TATCCTAATATGAGCAAAAAATTGAAGATTGTATTTAAAATTGGCGAAAAAGATAATTCTAAATAAAACTTGCAAAAATTTCGGAGGAATTTAACGGACCGGCTATTTGTACACAAAAAATAGTTTGGGCCGGGCCGAACAATTTATACGTGAAAAATCAGGCAGGGTCTTACAAATCTCTAATTTTTCGCAAAATTTCAAATGATCAGCCCGGGCATTAAAATTTTTATATATTTTTGCTATTTTGATCAATACTTGAGAATAAATTATAATTTGCTTATTTTGTTATATTTTAAGAGTTGTCTAAATTCGGAAAAAATTTAAGAGATTATTTATGATATGATCAAATTAAAATGAATAATGTAGGAATTCGGCGGGTGTGGTAATCTTGATTTGGAAAATATAGAATTGATATGAAAGAATAAATCAGGTTGAACAAGAATTTTATTTTTAAGGAATTTTTGTGCTTCTAAAATTATGTCGATTTTTATATAATATCTAATATATTATCAGACAGTCAAATTAAATCAATTGAACATAATAGAATATGATATGAAATTAACTCCTCAAACAGTAAAATATAATTAAGTTACAATCATGTAATTATATAAATATAATCAAACACAATTGATATATAAAACACTTATTGTAGAAATAGATAGCCATAGAAGAGAGATATAAAAACCTGAATTAACATTGGGAATTGGATATAGATATTATAAGTTTAATGGGCCGATGTATACAAAAATATTTGATGGACCGAGAAAAAAAAATTTACGGGTCGTGTCGGATAAATCTTGCGAAAATTCTTAATGGGCCGGGCCTGTTTAGATATATCTCATAAATCTATTATATCATTTTATTTTATATTTAATTTTTTTTTTTTATAATATTAAAACAACGTAACACAATACTGGAAATTGATTTTAGCATAAATGATGGATATACATATACATATATTTTTTTTAATATTAAAATTTTTTATTTATTTTTTACAAGGTTTATAGTTCTGATCATTATAAAATTATTGATTGTTTAACATGTAACTTTTCTCCCATCAAAATAAAAATCATACCTACATCCCCCGCAATAATTGGGATAACATTTTGCTAAAGGATAATTTGTACAGTTTCTGTTAAAACATGGAGAAAAGTAACAACTGACTACATAAACATCTGGCGGGCAACAGGAAGCTCTTCTAATTTCAAATATACTGGGTGCTGATTGAATTCCTAAATTGGAATTATAATTTCAAAGATGATAATATTGATACATCATTTTAACTTAAACTTTTTTGTTTTACCTGTTAGGACCGAGAATACTAGGATCAAGAGTAGGAAGGATTTAAGGTGGGACATTTGAAGTAAGATTATAAAGGAAATTCAGTTATATGTTTTAAAAATGAAATATGGCAATTAGTATAATAAATTAACTTTTTTTACGATTTCTATTTCATGCCAATTGATTCTTTTAAAAAAACAATAAAGATTATATAAAACAAATTTTTATAACCTTGATTATTAGATAAGACTAAATATGTATAGTAGATATAAATGTTACAAAAATAATATGTAACCCACTAGCCAATATACTGTTAATAACTTGGGGGGAAATATATATATCCTTTTTCTAATCGTGAAATATTAATTTTAATGATCAAATCATAATCATTTTGAAGTTATTATACGTTTTTAATGGAATTAAACTTTATCTAAATGGGAATGGAATTATTTTTTATATACAATTTCAATTTCTAAGTTTATTAAAAAAAAATATCAGCACTATGTTTTTTACTGATATAATACTTAACCCAGACTGATGATTCCTATATTTAAATTTATTTTAAACGGGAATAGAAATCAACTGGTGAAACATACCATTTTGGTTTTCCATATTACGAATTTTATTAATATATGAAACTGAATTTCTTTTTTTATATAATTTTTTAAATAAATTATAATAGAGATGTCGTGTCATAATATCCAGTTAATTTGTATTGATACCCATTTTGTTGTATACATATTTATTTTAAGTTTTAGTTTTATTTTAATGATATTCATTTTAGTTTTAAAGTTTTAATGTCTTACGCCAAAAATATCATTGACACGATTTATATTTAGTTTTTGCTTCACTTAAATTCAGTTTATATCATCGTTTAAATTACATTTTATATCATCGCTTTAAATTACATTTTATTTTCGTTTTGCGTAATTTACAATGATAGATCATTTACTTATTGATTTATTAAAACATATTTAAATTGTTAACAAAAAGCGATATAAAGACAGTCATGTATTATTTATTAATAGAAAAGGCGATATTACAGTGTTGTGATGATTTAATGAAACATATTGACGATTAAATTAAAACCCATCCATATAAAATATCTTTGCAAAAATAATTAAAATAACAAAAGGAATAATAAAAGATATTTCAATAATGCTTTGTCTATATTTTAATTATTTTTGCAAAGATTATAATTATATATGGATGGGTTTTAATTTAATCTTCAATATGTTTCATTAAATCATCACAACACTGTATATAAGGTATCAATATAATTAATTTGTTGTAAAATATTTCCATATATTTGTAACAACTTTCTTAAAAAATTATTACACTTGCTATATTTATTTTTTTTAAAGTGTTATCAATATGTTATTTTTATAAATAATTTGATCAAGTCAAACAATTTTATGAGAAAGTTTTTACAAATATATGGAAATGTTTTACAACAAATCATACACACTAGTGCGGGTTTAATTTTTCAAGCCCGACCCGGCCCGAAATTTTTTTAAAAAATTTTGCCCGGCGCGGTCCGAACCTGAAATTTTTTTGAAAAAATTTACCGGCCCGGCCCGAATTTATTTAAATATATTACTCGATATATGTTATATGGTGTCTAGTTTCTATAAATAAAATCAAATAATTTTATTTTACATAAATTAATCAATATAAAATTGATAAATTTCAATATAATTAAAAAAATTTCTAAGACCCGACCTGGCCCGAATTATCTTAAAATATACTTCCATATTTGTTCTTGGTCATAAGTTGCATATCTAAATTTTTGTTTAAAAAAAATGGAGTAGAATTATTTTTAAAATCACATCAGTATTATTTATCTTGACCATATGTTTTATTCCCAAGTAAAGAAGACCTGAAAAATTTTTTCCTTAAAATATGGTTTTCCGATTCTCACCCAGGGCACCATGAAGAAGAGAGCTTAGAACAAAAAAATTGTTCAAAATGTTCACTTTATTACTTTTTTAATCTCGTATTTATATATTTTTACAAACTAAAATTTGAATATAAGATCAAAAGGTTAAGTTATAAAACGAAAAGCAAAACTAAAAATTTGAATACGTGATATGTAACGCTTTTGCCCTCTAGCGTTGAAGGTTCAACAGAGCTACGCTTTCCTCATTTCCATCTAATTGGAACTAATTTAATTTGGATATAAGAGTAAAAATATGAGTAGCCTTATACACGTTTGTGGGCAAGCCGCACGTACTTGTAGGTGCAACATTTAAATATGTTACTTAAACCTCTATAGGCTTTTTAAAAAAAAGGAGTGGGGCAGAAAAAGAGCCTATACTCGAGAACTACAGTATAATTTAATTACTTTAAGGGTGGGTGATGGCTGATTTTAAGTTTAATTCTGTGTAGGTCATAAAGATTACTATCAATATTGAGATATAATGTTCATAGAATCTGTAAAATAAAGATATAATTAAATAAATAAAATTAAAAAAAATAAAATAAAATAAAAAAATTTTTTTTTATTTGATCAGTATGATATTATATTTTATTAATGATTCAACCCATACAGTACAGTACTATCACTTCAACATTTTTGCACCGGATGAGACCGCACCCATGCGTGCCTTATAAGTTAAATATATAAAAATTAATTTAATGAATGCGCGTTACATATATTTCAACATATTATTATAAAATAACCAAAATATATAATATTTTAATTTATTAATACCTATAATATACCAACAAAAAAAAGGATGTTAATAAGTCATTATAATTATAAAATCGTCCCTTTTATACTTTTTGAGACAAAGAAATCATGAGTTCTACATGTTATATATAAAAACGGATCAATATTTATAAATATTATGAATATTAAACAAAATAATTTTAAAAATATAAATAATAATATCAAATATAGAAATTAACTTCTGATAAAGATAAAAAAAATCGATAAGGAACTGAGTGAGTGAAGATATTTGTGACGATCAACTTATAAAGTTTTTGAGAATAAATTACATTCTTTACATAATTTTAATAAATTCCCCCAAATAAAATTTTATTTATTAAATAAAAACAAACACTCCCATCCTTTGGGCCAGTTGAACGGGTGTTTAGCACAACAAAAGCTGTATTATAAGCACCAGGCGCTCTTGTTTATCTCTTCATCTTAAAAATCAATTGTTAAAAATCTATTCTTGTTAATTATTTTCGAATAATTCTATTTTTATTCTCTATGGAGGATAAATAAAAAGAAAATTTATATATAAAATTTACTATTTTATAAATAACTCGTAATGCGTTGTTTCTTTTAAGAACGAGTAATGCGTTCCTCTTTTCACAGGGTAACAGGCAACTTTTATGTGTTGCTTTTTTCAAACTAACTAAACTAGTTTCTTTTGTGAAGTAATGTTTTATATATAAAAATATATTAGAAAATAGGTTAATAAATGCATAAGGTTCATAAAAATATACGGCTCTTAAAGTTTTAATAATAATAAATGATGAACAATAAAAAAATTTCCCATTTCTTTAGATAGGTTCCTTATATAATGGCATAATTTTATTGGTTAAGTATTTTTAAAAAAGGTCACGAAAATGGACTCATCCGTGAATAGAACTACTAACCCCACATTTCACTTTATATTTCTTCCTCTTGATATCCTTAGAAATAAGGAATTCTTTGTATTTGTTATTTATAAATAATTAAATAACATTTTCCTGATTTTGCAGTACAAACGCTTTATATTTTCGATTCAAAGACCAGCCTTATTAACAAACATGTGATCACGAAGTATTAGAATTCTGATTCTAAAAATGGATCAAGATATGTAAGTTCTTATTTAATTTAGTATAAGAAGCATAACATTATAAAAATAAAAATTATTTTTCTTACAAATTATATAGAAAAAGTCTTTTAGAATGTATAATTTCAGAAATAGAGCTCAACAATATGAAGGATTTATTAACGTAAGTCATATTCTAAATTTATTATTTTTTATTGCACATAGAGAAGGCTAACGGATCAGTTTGGACTGAACCCTTATGGCTCTTTAGAATCACTTCCTTGGTTTGGTTCTATTCCCATGATCGATTTTTTGTTTGGACCAATTGAAATAAACTAAATACAAATAATATCAAAAAGCTTTATATTGAAATATTAAACATACATAAAATTTGTTAATATCATTTTATTGATATAGTCTATGCACTCTTTCTAAATACTATTTGATATGAACAATGTTAAATCTAAAATGTGAGCTTAAGCTACTAAATATTAAGTTTATAAATCTAAATGGTTTAATCATTTTAAAGCTCACATACCAAAAAGAACAGGAATTATTATATTTGTAGGTCAACAGATATGTATATTAGAATATAATATTTTACAATAGAGCATAAAATTAAATTAATGCTATTAAAACTACTAGTTATATATTTATTCTTTATTAAAAATAAATTTTGCAAGTAAATTAACTCAAATATTCTTGAAAGTGAATAAAAAATTGAATTATAAACAATGATTTTTGATTGCAGATTAAAATTTCCAATTTTATACCTTTCATATAGATATACAAAACCAAAAAAAAATTGGTCTAAACCCTGTCTAATTAATATGTAGGACACAATGTGTTCAAATACTAGTAAAAAATTTGTAATTTACCTAATTTTGATTGAATGAGTTTGGCATACATAACTATTTAAATTTTTAAAAAAGAGATGGATTTTAAAACAATTCAGTCAATAACATACTCTTTTCAAAATCTAAAAAAAATTAAGAGTTTGTTTAATATTTAAATTGATTTAATTTTTAAAGATTTCCAAAACTATCAATCAATTATAATTAATTCATAAAAAGTTTTCATATGACAGAGCCTAATGAAATAATAATCATAGGAGAATTTAATTCGAACAAAAAATATGCACATTCATATATTAAAACAATTGTTTCTATTTTTTTACTTGTTTCTGTAAAAAGAAAATGAATATTCAGATTCTGATTGTTAATAAATATTGAATGTTATTTTAAATATATTGTTGAATTTTATTATAATTTACATAATCTTAAATCGAATTTTGAAATTGATAATAAAATCAAATTCTAAATTTTTATGAAAATATTGGATTGATTTAAATCTGTCAACCATAATTGTAAAGAAAAATTTTTAGATCTTAAAAGAGTATGTTATTGAGTGAATTGTTTTAAAATCCATCTCTCTCTTAAATTAGAAAGATATTTTAAATCTTAAAATATAAAGTTGCATGTGATATTGTTTGAAATAAAATATTTTTAAAACTAAATAAAACGGTCTTAATTATTAAATAATTAAGTATTTTCTTAACTATTTTATATTGCAGTTATATTGTACTAAAAAAAAAAAATTAATGATAGAATCTTGTTTCGATTTAAGATTTTTTTAAGAATGTTTAGTTTATTAAAGTCCATTTCGCTAAATAGCTTTCAGGCTGCATTCATAGTGGAGAAGGATCCGATTTTTACATCCGTTCCGTCAAAAGTCAATCTCATTAAAAATGATATATATGTTCATAGTGCGTCCGTTCCGATACCTTCCTTCTTAAAAACGGATCCGGCAAATTTTGAAGTCAAAACATTTTGAATTTTTGATCCGGCAAATCTTATAGAGCGTTATAACGTTACTTACAATTTTTTTATAGTCTATGAACATTTATATCATTTTTAATGAGTTTGACTTTTGACGGAACGGATGTAAAAACGGATCCGTCTCCACTATGAATGCAGCCTTCACTTTCTTTTGAAATTTAAAAAAATAAAATATTTTTAAAATATTCAGAGTATTCTATTTAATCGTTTATATTTTCTATTATCTTATAACATAGTCTACATTATTATCCACCGGAAAACATATAAAATTTATTGCTTTAATATTATGTAGATCTAGTAAAAGGAGGAGAAGACACGTTTTTAATTGGAAACAAAATATAAGAAAATATCTTTGCCAATCAGGAAAATCGTATGTAGATTATAAAGGTGTTTACAAACCCGAACGGTCCATTAAGACGTTAAAAGATTGTAAGCTAAAATGTAAATTCAAATGCGGTTTGCAAATAGTCGAAAGCGAGAGAGAACGCGTGCATTCAAGCTTCTGGAGGCTAGGCAATGATGAAAAAATGGAATTTTACAATAAAAACGTGGAACGACATTACAAGAGCAGGGCCACCACCAAGAAGCAAAATTCTTACAAAAAATATTCGTATTTTTACCACTTCATCGTGAATAACGTCAAAATTAGGGTTTGTAAGGAGTTTTTCCTCACGACGTTGGACATAAGCCAGAAAAGGATATCCTATTTTTTCGAAAATTTTAAAAACAACGATAACATCACGTCGTCATATTCATATCGAAAGGGGAAGCACAAGAAAAAAACTATAGACGAAGCGTTAAAGGCCCACATCAGGAATCATATAAATTCGTTCCAAAAGATCGAACCACACCATTGTATCTTGAATACCAAAAGATGGTTGCTGGACGGCTCGCTAAATTTAAAAATCATGTACTCGTTGTACCAGGATTACTGCAAAGAAAATAAGGTAGATTGGTTGAAAGAACATTATTATAGGCGAATATTCAATTCCGAGTTTAGTATTGGTTTCACGAACAAAAAAAATCAGTGCCATTTTTGCAAAGAAAAATGGGTGAGCGAACATAACACTTTGGAAGCCTTAGATAATTCACAGTATTTTTATGATTACCTGAACAAATTCAAAGGAGGCCTTAGCTAATTCGCATATTTTTTACTATTACTCAAATTCAACGCCAAAAAAAAATAAAATTCTAGTCATCATTATCAATTCGAATTCATGGCAAGATGAATCATTAAATGAGTATTATTAAACAAATAGTTTTTTTTATAAAGATTATATATTTTAATTTATTTTTATTATTTAATAAATAAAAAATATATTTATTTTTTTTTATTAAATTTACGCACTTTGAAGTTTATTCGATTTTTAAATAAGAGAATGAGATGAAGATTGTACTTTAATTTAGTTTTCTTAGAAAACTTTAAAAGATAAAACTAAAAATCGATGCCCACTTAATTTTTTGATTAAATATAATCATTAAAAAAATTAATTTTTTTTACAACCACAAAAAAAATATGTAAATTATTATCATTATATATTTAAATATAATTGTATAAAGACCGCGATAAATACAATATTAAATAATGTCTAAAAAAAAATTGTATGTAGGATATTGGGGGGGGGGGGGATTTGCATTAATAATTGATATAAATATTATCTAGCAGTTTTGTAAGCTCTTTTTTTGTATGAGGTAAAAGTTTAAAAAAAAATTTATATATGAAAATCAGACATTTTTAACTTCATATTTACATGTGTATACAAATATATATAAAAAGCATTATATAATATCACATTTTCGTTTTTATAAAAGGTAAATATTGATTTTTAATTGCGCGAGAGATATGGTTAATCATTTATATAGTATATACACTCATTTTTAAGTCCTCCATTTTATAAGTAAGGTGATCTTTATTTTAAGATATTTAATTTTAAAAAATTTGCGTTTATAAAACCCAATAATAAGCAATTTTCCAATTTTTCTTAAAAATAATTTTTTTTAAAAAAAACCTATTATTTGCGAGGCGCAGTTTGGGGTTGTGGGTTAATGGAATAGAGAGAGACCAAATTTTCCGCGCAAGATGCCAATAACAGCTAATTAATTTTTTTTTTTTTAAAAAAGAGGTATAAACATTACAATAATAATAATCCCAGAAATTGTTAGCAATCTTATTTGTATCAGTGGGACTGGATTTAAAAGATGACACAGCACCAGGAAAATTTGATTCAAATCAAATCCACAGGATAAGATTAAGATCTGGTTAAAATATCGAGATTATAACCAAATGTACACAATATAATTTAAAATATTTTTTTTATATATAAACTTTGTAGGGGTGAAAGACTAGAACTGTGGTATGAACAAATTTTTGAGCGCTAAACCAGGTTGGAGCTTTAAGCGAAGACATTAAATTTCCCCTTGGATTGTACAAGCCTATCGTTTGATTAGTGAGACCTCTATATTATAATAAAATAATAAGAAAATAAAACAAACTCCTAATTTGGGAGTAGTAAATCCCATATAAAACATTGTCAAATATTAGTTGATTTGACCTCTTATGATCCATAAATAAATTTTCAAAAAAATATATGATTTTTTAAGGGGAATATATATAAATATACTATAACATACCCCGAGACTAAACTGGTCAAGGAATGAATATCGATAGCTGAAATGGGATGACTAAATTTGGCCGTTCTAAATGAGGAAAGTGAACTAGATGCCAAGTTCCATAACTTGATTTCTCCATTCAAACTTCATTTTCGTTTTATTAATTTATATGTAAGGTTAAGATTTAATAACATTGTCTTTATAAAGGATAATTTCTCCTGTAAGGAATCATAAACTAAGATCAAACAAATATTAATATACCAAGTTCTTTTTTACAAAAAATAAGATTTTGAGCATTTGATCGAAAAGCATGAAACCAGGCCACCGAAAATTCATGGGCCGGATAACTTGTAAAAAATATATTTTATGGGCTGGCCTTAAAAACCGGGACCAACTTCTAATTAATACTAACTTAAACTGACAATTCATTTATTAAAAAGTGTAAATACATTGAAGTCCGTCATTGAATTGCATTTAAAAAAAATGTTCTTCAATGGCGTCTACTATAGCCAATGACATTGACGATATATGAAGACTACTTATAAGTGAATAGCCAGTTTTAGGTTAATATTAATTCAAATGGTTTTAGCTCTACAGTACAATAAAATGCTATAACAAATTTTTACACAAAGAAGCACTTTAAAATTGGGTAACATTTTTATGTAACATGTATAAGTTTTATAAAAAAAAATTTAATATTATTCTGGATATATAAGCAGTTTCGCGATCTCTGTCTAGTTTATTTTTTTTAAACTATGTTCAAGAATGATTTGTCCTAAAAAAAACTACAGTTGCGTCTTAATACTTTATTGCTTACGAAGATGCATAGGGTTAGATTCATAATAACTTTATAATATGATACCTGCCACTTATCAAATTATTGTCGTTGCTTTGATAAAAACCAATTTTCATTATAGGGCTATTGCTCTCCTTGTAAGTTTTTATAGCGCTTTATTATTTTGGGTATTAAAAAAATGGTTATATATTTCATTTAATTAATTCTTGAAATTAATTAATCATTGTGGCCCAGATTGAATAAGTTTCATTTCAAAATTTGATTGCTGTAGATTATCTTATATAATCTATTCAATGGTATCTTTTATTATTATCGAGAAATACCCATTTCTTTAAGATTAAATGAACCTTATAATTCTTGGGGAAAGTTCAAGTAATAGAGAAATATTTTGGATAATAAATAGGGACCCCGTTTCCTGGAATTTTCCGTTCATGTATATTCCAAGTCTCAAATAACCTTTTTTAAATTACTTATATTCCGGAATTCTTATATCGAAAAGTTTGATTGTGCCGTCATTGTAACCGGTGGCGAGTAAATGATTGTCTTGTGAGGAATAGGTAAGACTAGTTAAGGAATAATCACTTTTAGTAGCTATATCCTTTTTAAAAAAATGAAAGGTATAATCAATTGTAATTAGTGATAAAGAGCTCTATTTGAGTCGATTTTTAAGATGTTCTAAATAAAGATTGGCTTGCACAAACAGATGTAAAATGAGAATGTAATAAGACATTTTTTAGAAAATTTAAGACATTTTTTAAAAAAAATTTAATATTTGTTGAGTCTAATAAATGATTTTATCATTCGTATAACTATAATATGAATAATGCAAGGATAAGATTGGTATTTTGTTTTAGGCCTAAATGAAAATTTTATTTATTAACTTACATATAATTTTAATTGTTTCTGCAGGTCCCAAATTCGGATAATTTTGGCGTCGCCGGAAACAAAAAGATAATTTTTCATTTGATCCCAATAAAATTTCAGATTGGCAGCTTTGATTAAATAGCATTTTTTTTAAAAAAAAATTTGATTATGAGAATTTTTTTTACAAATTAATGCTAATGAAAATAATGGATGGGATATGATAACGATGCATCTAAAGTCACTTTTCGAATATAACATATAATTTACGAAATTCATCATCTATATTTGCCCTAATTTCCTTCATAGTCTCAATCAAATCGGTGAATTTTTTAAAAATATTTTACTTTCGTTTTGCAGTGAAAATGTTTTAAATAATTTGGTGGAAAATTTTTAAATTGTAGATAAATATGAGGCTAAGGAAAATTTGAAATCAATATTAATTCATAAAATAAATTAGTAATGTATTTATTTCTGCTGTGAATGTGATAAATAAATGTAAATTGGAATATATATACAATAAGAGGTGGGTAAGATATAAATTAATTATCATAAATAAGTAATATTTTAGCCAGCTGTGATTTTCTTTTGAGGGGAGGGGGGGGTGCGTACGCGCTGGCCTCTATACCAATAGACATTAACATCCTAGGGATGTTAGGAAAGGCGGCTTATTTTATGAAAGCCATCGGCAAAAAAAGATAGCCTTACAGGTGTCCAAATGAAGGATTACTTTCATCAGCTGATTTCCCTCGTCCTCTCTAGAGTGGCATGTTTTTTATTATATAAGTTTTAATATTTTTTTTAATTAAACTTATATTTAAAAAAATTAATATTTTAAAAAAATGAATAAACAAATCGCCATTTTTTGAGGATACCTTAAATTTTTATAAAGTTATTATTTATCGATTCAAGGATATATATTAAGTACTGCTCCCTTATAACACATGTGCAATAAATTTTAGTGTGAGTTTTTTCAGAATTTGTGATTCAATATTTTAGATAAACCTTTATTATTCCGTTTATAATTCATTTGTGCTCGTATCTCGTTTGAGAACACAAAATTAAGTATCAGATTTTAGGAATTTATTCAATCTAGTCACAGGATGGGGTTTTTCAGTTTAGTTAGCTTATACTTTTTTAAAAAAAATTTTAATACGATGAGATGAATATAAATCAGATACCTGCACAGAATACCAGTAATCACAGTCCAGACCTCGGTTTGTAAAAAAATGTTTAGCACAGCCCGGCTCACATTATTTATTTATTTTTAAAAAAAAATTTCAGCGCAACACGGGTGTATTATGAAGGTTTTTTTACGATAAAATAAAAATTCGACCCGATACAGTTATTTTTTTAGGTAATAATGAAAATTATTTTTTATTTAATTCTAGACAAAGAGAGAGTGTACATTTGTGTTCATTTTTTGACGAAATGTATTTTATTTTGTAATGTTGAATATTTAATTGATAAAAATAAAAATTATAAGGATTAGTCTTTAAATTAATAACTATTTTATACCTAGTAAAGTAAAAATAATAAATAAAAATGATGTAGTTGGTTATATTGTATGTTATTTTCTAATAAATAATAAAAAAATTTAAACTATTCCTTTAATATAGTTTATTTAATTTTTGATTAAATTATAAACTAATCTCCTAAATTATTTACCTAATATACTAGAGTTATAAAGACAATGAAAATAAAGTGATTTAAAAATTATTATAATCAATGAATAATTTAAAAACATTTTACTTCTCTTTCAAGAACTATTTAAGTATTTTCTAACGAGAAATATAAATGGTTTTGAAATGGTAATTTAGAATATGAGAAGTGAAGAAATGTGATATATCATCCTATGGTACAATTTTTAAATATATTATATTTTTTAATATTCGCCATAGCCCAGGTTGTTGAAAAAAATAAAAAATTTTAGGCCTAATTTAAAAAAATATTTATATGGCCTAGCTTATATACCCTGACATGTATTTGGTCCTGGCCTACAGGTCTGATATAATTAATAAAATTAGTCTACATCTAAAAATCAAATATATATAACTAACTTTGTGATAACCGATTCGAGGCCGATCCTCCCGAATGAAAAAAATAACTAATGTGGCGCCATTAAATCCTCTTAACTGGTAAAATCTATTTAACCCCTCCCCCCAATAATTTAAATGATTATATATTCACTAACAATTTATTAAGCCTTAATGACATAGCTAATAAATGGTTTATAAAAATGTATTTAAAACCTCCTAACAAATATAATAATTGGCTCAAAACGCTACTTTTCAGTCCGGCAGGATTAAAGTCAGTGAGTCCGTTCCAGGCCCCGACGATTTTGGGCTGGACGATCTCCCTACTATCCATTAGTTCCATATCGCTTCTCCCCGTTTCACTATCGTTGCCCGTTACACTGTTAGAATGGGCTTGTATACTCGAAGGTGTAGATGACGAGTAGGTAGATGTGAAAATTACAGGACTCACCGTGGACACGCGAGGTACGTAGCGTCGAGGATTGAATAGGTTTTTCCAAATCCTAATCGAACCATCACCTTTTTAATTGAGATATGTCAAAAAATTATTCATATTAATATGAATTTTAAACATTTTACAAATATAAGAAACAAGGTTACAAGCGTTAATTATGGATAACATAAAACATGATTAACATAAGGAAAACTAATTAGTATAGTCACTCATATATTTAATCTACTCATTTGGCTACTGCTCTATTAAGAAAAATTCTTAAGAGATTAGATACATTGTAAAAAACTGTAATAAGCATTTAATCAGTGACCAATTACTATGATAAATGAAGAAACCCGAAAAATTATTTACAATATAATTTACCAAAAAGTGAAAAAATATCATTTAAAGATATACAAATTTCAATCATAAAATCCTTAAATGTAAATTTCAAAAGTATATTCAAAGATAAAATTGTGTCGAACAATGACGGGTATTGTTGGTACCAAATCAGAAACGTTGGTAAAATAATATCTATAATAAATAATGAATCTAATCTTCAATGCCGGATATCCTAAATAGAACTTTTGCCGAAGATACAGAAATGATTCTAATGGACCAGTATGTAGAAATGGTCCTCTTTTTAGAGACAGACTTGAGCTAAAAACAGCTGGAACTTTTAAATATTTTAATGATAAAATGTGATGCAAAATCAATTCAGTTGATTTTTAAAAAGGGCAAATTCCGTATTTTAGCGAGAAAAATGCCTAAAGCTCGAGATTTAGCTAAAAAGTATTTTATTTGTCTACCGATTATTTTTTTAAGAGGAACTGGCCATATCTAGAGGATAATTTTTTTATCCATCTTGTTTAGATTATAAATTTGAATACTATTTAAAATAAAAAAAAATGATAGATTAAAAATGATTAATTAAACTTTTTTTATTATTATTAATTATATGAGAGAATTAGTATAATATCCTTAAATTTCAGTAAAATATGACCTGACTTGGCACTAAAACAATACTCATAGCATTTCTATTTGAAGGTAAATTTCAATAATAACAAATTAAAAATATAAGATTTAGTGATGCTAAATCGTTCCATTTAAGTTTTTAAAATTAATTCAATTTTTATAAGCTCGGTAATTAAAAAAAAATTTAAGAGTAAAAAAATTGTATAGTTACATATTTCTATTAATTATCTTCTTAATCGTTTATTAGCAGTTTTCCTGGGTTACCCGGGTAAGCCATCTTTCCCTCAGATCCATTTTCTAAACTTTTTACGATCTTGAGCGTTACTAATTGAAGATCCATTGTTTTCCTGACACCCGTTATCCCTTCATCCACATCTTTGTTATCCTTCTCGAGGCATTGATCACGTTACTTTCAAAGAAGTACATCTCTTAATCCAACCATCTTTTTTAACGTGCCCAAATCATCTCAGACTATTTCTTCTCATCATAATTCTAATCGCTTCTATACCAATTCTTTCCCGCAATTCGTTGCTGGTTTTTCTCTCTCTCACAGACACCCTACCCTACACATATCTATCTGACCATTCTTATCCTCGTTCTTTCATTTAGTTTCATGAACCGCTTTCATTACCCACGTTTCATAGCCGTATATTATACAGTTTCTCACACAGTTTAAATAGACGTTTTCTTTCAGCTTCAGATACGTTCCTATTTGTTAGAATAGAAGACATCTCTCGAAACTTATTCTATGCATATCTTACCGTTGCAACAACAGTTAATCAACACCTTTATCTGCTTTTAACTTGTCACCCAAATAACAGAACTTTCCAACATTTTTCAGAGTATAATTATAATAAAGTGTGCATATACTAGATCCCACGCACAGTAAAGGGTATATATCGAAATCGTTAAGAATTTCCATGCAAGTAATTTTGGTGTCCAAGCTGCAATTCACGAAACCGCACATCATCTGTTGATTATCCGTGTTCCACATACTAGAGCATTTTTTTTAAATTTTATAAAAGATTAATATAATTATTAATTTAAAAGGAAGAAAATAACATCAACGTGGATGAAAATCTGATCTTACCCGTTTCCCCTAAAGCAAAGAGAATTTAATTAAAGATTAATAAATTATAAATGAAATGTTTGAAATAGATAGCATCCACGTTAAAATTAAACACAGATAGGAAGGTGTAGCTGTTACAGAGGTGAGCAATACCTAACAAATCTTAAAGTAACGAGTTTTTGTATCATTTAACAAGATCTAGGCTTCTTATTTTAGTTTATAATAGGATTATATTTCTTGGTTTTAACACGATTTTTGGATTTCACACTTTTATTTTTTAAGTTTTAATTTTTAAACAATTAATTTAAATTACTTTTTTTTATTTATTATTAATGGTTTCACTTTTTATTTGAATATCTAACTTGAGTAGAGGATTCAAAAGGATAACTTACTTTGATGAAAACAACAAGAAAAAGATTTATCTAGATTAGCTAGAAAAATATTGACAATTCCAGCAACCAGTGCGCATTGCTGGGAGGTTTTTAGTATCAATAAATATTAATTTATATTATTATATAAATATATTTAATTAGATCCAATAAATTCCTCCGTAATTTAAATTGAAACTTTTTTATGCTTAATATAGCAACTTCCTAAATTATAAAACTTCTTTGTAGGGATGTAGCGCTGAAACTAAATCATTTTTATTATTAGATGATTAAAAAAATTGAAAGAAGGACTTATTTAAATTTTATATGGGTGGCATGGGTTAAAATTTTTTTTATAAATAATGGGCGAACGTGTAAAGAATTTTAGGCTTAAGTTTAAAAACTATGAGCGGTTAAAAAAATTTTAAATATGAGGGACGGGCTTGTGGACTATAGCCAGCCCATTGCAGACCTCTACTCTAAATCCCATTTTTTTTAAATATGGATTTCGGTTTTGTCTCGTTATTAATTTTAGGTATTTTTTTTAAAAGTGCCCCTCAGTTGGGTAATAGCTAAATGTCGGATAATTCGGTCTCTGCCGGGGAAAATCCGTTAATATTAAGGTGTTTTAATTTATATTAGTTTCTTTCAAATTTGAGCTGCTATCTTTGTAAAAAAAACCCCAGGATTAAAATGATAGTTTTCGGCTAAAAACTTGGTTAAGCCGGCTACAAAAAGGCTTAAACGGCCAAAAAATATAGTAATTACCAATCTATACCCCTTACAAAACTGAATTTAAAAAAAAATGGTTGACGATATTATTAGTGTAAACATTCGCATACTTGACATTGTTAGCCGTATCGGCCACGGCGATCAAAGGGTGGAACGGAAAAAATCTAAGGCAAGTGGGGCGAGAGGCAAATTTAGGCAATGAGGATTCTATTTCGAATTTTGGCATCGCTTAGTTATATTCACGTATCCGCAAATAGCCACATAAAAATAATAATAATGGAAATGGTAAGAAAAATAATACTTTGATATTGTGATTGAAATCATTACAAGACCCTCTAAATCCTATCCAATAATGGGGAAGAGTAAATTCCTAAGATTAATAAGGCGACCCTGACTTAAATTCTGACAAAATATGATGATTGTTTCAGGTTTTATTTAAACACTCACTCATATATCTTAGGGGGTGTTTTTCATGATTCTGGTCATAATCATTCCAAGAACCTCTAACTCCAATATAATAAATTCATTTTCAAAGACAAATAATTTTTTTTTTTGAAAATGAAAAGAGTAAATTCCTGAAAAATAATATGGCGACCCTGACTTAATTTCCAACAGTGATAATTTTTCAGGTTTATTTAAACATTATCTCATATTTAGGAAAGTTTTAAACTTTTATGATTTTGGTCACAAGGAGGTCAACAAAAATGCTAACAATTATATTTTTTTAAAAACTAAGTTTAATTACTATTCTCCTTGATAAAAGTAGAGGAAGTTCCGGTTTTCCTGGTGGGGTAAATTTTTTTGGCCTCGTTGATAAATTGATTGTTGGCTGCGTATTTTAGGGATCGAGCTGCCCTTTCAAATTCTTGAGGAAATTTTTCTTTTTGAGGATTTAGCTAAAGAAATCGTTTACAAAAAAATTAATAATAAAAAAATCTAGTCCGAGCCAGCGTCAAATAATCTAGGCTTACCCTGAATTCAGAATTAGCGAACTGTGAATGCATATGCTGATTTAGTATTCTCATATCGATGTTATAAAAGTCATGTTTATATTATTGGCGACAAGTTATATCTAAACAAGTTGGAGATGAAAGGTAGCCTTTACAAAATGCTTATATTACAAAGCATCACGTTGATTATAACATGATTCTCAACTCCCATTTGATCAATTTTATAGGATTATTGTTAGACATTTCCATTTTTTATTTGAAGAAATTTCGAGGCCTTAAGGTAATATTTTATTGAGTTAAACCTTAATCTAGCCGTTTTTTTAAATCGAGGTGATTTAAAATAACTAAAGGTGACGGAATATATGGATCAAAATATAGATCCACTCAGGGAGGGATCCATACCCTATTGGTAAATCCTAGCTACATGGACATAAGGGTATGTAAACATAAATAATTGTATATATTCACTTACCACATCGACTTGTTTCCAAAAACTTTTGCAACAATCGGAAACAAAAACGCTAAAAACTCTTTGATAATTAGATTTGTTTGTTATATCTATCGCCGAGTCAGATTCGTTAATCAATTCTTCGTAAGTGTCCTGTGTTATCTAATATAAACGTTTTTTAATGCAAGATTATTTAAAACCTAAAGTTGTAAAAAAAATTATTAAAATCCAAACACATTTTTCCTTTATTTCCCAATTGAAAGAGTCTATTTACTTACATTAGCTACTTCTTATTTTTACAAGACATCTCCAGCCATAATAATAAAGCAATCATGTGTTTGAACATCATAACCCTAAGTATTTTTTATTTTTGGCATGAGTCAGTTAGCAATAAATGTTTTTTTTATTAGTCATATGGGGTTGGGAAAATTTTCCAAAAAAGTAGTAACCGGAATAAGCCAAGATTCACAAATAAAGTTAATATTAAGGAATGTATGATATCCTAACTTCAATGTTTTTATTAAAAACTATGCCATGTGGTCTTCAAAAACATCGCCGGCCATTTTATTTGTAGAAAATTATATTGGAGGGCAAATTCTAACCGACTCTTACCATCATCTATATATATATAAATTAACAGACCACGTGTTCGCTTCCATAATTTTTAAAAAAAAACATACCAAAGATGGTCCTTTATCGAAAATTTTTCTGGACCGCGAAAAACTGTAAGTTATATCAGGCGATCCAACATTTATGAGGGGGGCGTTAGACGTGGTGGGAGACGATGAGATCGGGGTCGAAGTAGGAGTGATCGGTAGATTTAAGTTGGAGGCAGGTCCCCCATTAGATATAAGGATAGCAGAGTGAGGAGAGGTTGAATACGTTTGTGGGCTTAAAATGGTGGGGAAGGGGAGAGAGGGTATTATATGATATGAATTTTTTAAATAAAAAAAAGGAAGTTTGTGAGCTTATTCGTTAAACGGCGCATCTAAGTAAATCGTAATATCAGTAAAAATTTATTCTGGCAAAAATTGATATAAATCTTTAATAAGTCATTTACCTGGCAAAAAAAATATATGAGCTCATTACAATTAGGAATGGGCAAATTTTATTTAAAAAAATGCGAATAAAGAAATTTCAAAAAAGGAACAAATGTGTACAAGATTTGTGCATTTTATTAAGATTGTCAATCACGTTAATGTTGCAACGTGATTGGTTGAATAAAAATACATCATTATTTTTATAAATGATAATTTTTCTTAAAAATATGATATATTCATTCGTTTTTTTCTTAAATTAAAATATAAAAATGTTTTTTTTTATAAATTAAATTTATATGAATAAAATATTTGGAATAAATGAATAATTTTTGTAATTGAAATTTTAAATAAATTAAGAAAATATAAACATATTTTTGTTGGTTTATTAAAAAAAGTATCTTGTATTTAAAGATACAAGAATTTTAATTTTTTTAAAAGTTAAATAAATTTGGACTGATAATATTTATTACAAGGGTTGTTAAAAGTTATTTTTTAAAAGTAACTCCTTATCGTTATAAGTTACATTCTTAAAAAGGTGACAAATTACAGTTAATTTTTCAAAAAAATGTACATTTATTTTAACATTACTAATTACTATTCATATTTTAGTATAATAATCATTCATAAGTAAACTTCATTTTTTCGTCGCTTTTTGTAAGGGAGGCTAAAAATCCGGAGGAACCATGTTTTTCCAATGTTTTCGACGTTTCTCGTTTGGCGGAATTCAAGAGAGAGACCTAGTTAATTTAAATTTGAAAGAGAGGAGGGGCAAATAAATCAATCAATTTTAAAAAAATTGTGTCAAAATCTTTTAAGTAAAAAACACATGTCAGTATTAAGTTACTTTATTTATAATAAGGTTCTAACTTCACTATAAATTTTTTTTACAATAAAAATTTTTTCAAACCTGGGCCAGGCGTTAAATATAAGTTACTTGTCAAAACCAGGGCCGGGCCAATAAATTTAAATTACATCAGCTGGAAAATCTTATAATTTTTCATTATCTTTCACTGCCGATTCTTATTTTCATTTTCTGCTCAAAACAAATGATGAAATTTTTTATTTTAAATTGAGTCAGGAAAATAAATTTTTTACCCCGAGTCGGGTTTAGAAAAGGCTAACTTAGGATGTACAAAATCAAAAATATAATTTTTTAAAAAGTTTGGTTTTCGGGGGTTTTTTTAGAGTGATTTTTGCTAAGACTTTGAGGGTTTTCAGTTTTATAGTTTTTCCAGCATTATTCTTAGTTTAATTTGTAATTATTTTAAATTTTTTATCTTCTTTATTTTATTTGAAAATGAATTAACTAAAGAAATAATTTCGTTTCTCTTTAAAAAAAATGAGGCTAATGATTATATTTTGTTTCTTTTCTTCAATATATATCATATCTTATAAAATAATGATAAAAATAATAGTTTATCGATGGCAACAAAAATATAATTAACTCTTAAAATTAGCGTACAAATGAAAATTAAGCAACAATATTAAAAGTCCATACAAAAATGACCCCAGACATCACAATAATTAATTTATAAACTTTCGTAACTTTAATGAAATAGGAGAAATTGGCTATTTTTAATGTCAAAATGAAATAGTGGCCTAAATTTTTTCTAATTTACGAAAGTTTATTAACTTTTTAAAGTTCGAGATATTATAAAAATTTAATAATTAGCTCAAAGTTTATAAAGTTGTTACATTTTTATGGAAAAATGTAAGGATTATGAATTTATACTTTTCAAATTATAATAAGAAATGGGCAGTTATATTAATCAAAATAGAAAAAATATATAAATTAAATGGAAGTATAAAATTTACAAGACCTTTTTAAAAAAATTTAATGGAAGATTTTGGGCATGTTTCAAATTTTATAAAGTTACCAAAGTTTTGAGGTGTCCATAATATATTAAGGACACAACCTTAACAAGGTTAATAGGAAAAAAATATTCTAATAAGGATAGATAGTAAAAGGGTCAAAATTATTATTTTATCAGGATTTTAAATTAATCAAATAATTATATTTTTTTAAAAAATATATATATTATGAAATAATTAACTTACTCTTCTCTTAAGGTTGGAAATCAATATTTTAGCGCTTTGAGCAACGTCCACGTGGGGATCGGCGGAAAGTGTTAATAACGTTTTCCAGATTAGGTAGTAAACATTGGTGGAGGAGGATACTAAGGAAGGTGCGCTGTCAGTTAAACCGCTTATATTGTTTAGGGTCATAGTAGAACTTTAGACGTCAATCATTTCAAAAAAAAATTATTTGAAAAAAAAAATGAAAATGTTAATTAAAATCCGTTGAACCATATTGTGGTTGTTAAACGGTACGATTTGAGCCTGTTTTTAAAAACGGCTAACTCGATTTTTTATCCATAAAAATATTACACAAAAGCTTGTAGATTATCATAGATCACAAAGGGTTTGAATATCTAATAACGAAATCTCGAGTCTTAATATTTTTCTGAATAAAATACTGAATTTGCCTTTTTTTTAAATAGTCAAGCCGATTAACAACACTACCAGATTTAAACCTGTGATTGCACTGAGTATGAGAAGAAACGTAAACAATAGATAATAATATCCGTTAGGCCTATTCAAAAATCGAATTTGAATCGAATAGTAAATAAATTGTTCGCATTCTAATCTTTAAAAGAATTAAAATCTACTATTCGAAAACATACCAATCGAATAAGAATAGCAAATTTTAATCATTCATACAAATACGAATCATAAATCATTCGACTTTTCTTTCCTTCTATCAAAGAAAATTAATTGTATTAACTTTTGAATAGACCCCCAATTCACATCAAACCTCGATTAGAATAAGTTTTTATTAGAATCATAAGTTATATATTATTAAAAATTTATAAAGCTAAGATAAATTTAACCAACCAATTTTTTAAATAATTAAATCTCCTTCTGGTCAAGGCTAACTTAATTAGAATGAGGAATCATACATATCTTCTGTAATTTTTCGTCTATATTTTTTGTTGTTACCTTAATGCCACTCAATCTAGTGTACAAGTTATAGTCAAAATCATTCTAATATTTTATAATGCTTTAATAAAATATTCATGTTAAAGCAATGATGATTTGGTTAGTTGTTGGCTAATAACTTAAATATTGATTCTTTAAAATAAAAATTCTCTATGATTAATTTTAACTTTTTTTAAATTAAACAGTCATTAAGATAATGCAAATCGTCGTCTGAAGAATAGATTATTCCATATTCACTCCTTTTTAAAAATGACTTTTTTTAAAAAACCTAAATCAATCTTTTATATATACTAATCTTATTTATACAAAAAAAATCATAAATATTTCAAAAGATGCTAAATCATATATGGTCAATATAAGATTATACCGTCATATTAAAAATAATAAGAACTTAATCTTTAAAAATGCTCTCCTGTACTCGTGTGACGATATGTTGTAATAGGCAATAAGGAATGAATTACACCAGATCTCAAAATAATTTTTTTAGCCTAAGATCACAAGTACTAAGCAAAATGATGATCATTTAAAAGCATAGTTTCAAAAAAAAAGTTTGTTAAAGTATGTTTATTTAAAATAAAAGCTAACCTTGAAAAAGCCTTGTTCATAGACGGGATTTTCGATGATGTATCTGAAGAAGAAAAAAAGTTCTAAAATTCCAATATTTGCAAAAGCGTTTTGTCAAAAACCTCGATTTCGGTGTTTTTTTAAAGGATTCTAGCCAAAAAAAATATAACCCAATCCTGCATTCATAGTTACGAATTCGCGGTGAAGTAAACGAAAATATGACATTCGTTTTTGTATACTTCGCCGTGAATTCGCGCTTAAACTGCAAACTTAGGGTAAGCCTCGAGATTTGGAAAGAGGGGCAAACCTTTCTGTGATCTATATGCGAAATCTCGAGGCTTAGATAAAAAAATTTTTGAATAATATCTATTTAGACGTTCTTTTTCAAAAATATTATATTTACAATAAGGAAAATGTTTATAACTCGATACAAACCGATGGGAAAAATACTCAAAATGGGTGCATTTATAAAAAAAAAAATTTAATAATTTCCCGATAGATTTTTAAATTTAAAAATTTCCGTTATAATCGGAAATGTATTCTAGCACGTGTGGTCTTACACAGTGGCTTTCAGATGTCTTTTCCTACCCTCAATTTATATTTATATCGCTTTTTCATATATTTAAAAAAAATTGACAAAAATTATCGGAAATCTTGAAATATATAAAAATAAAAATTAGTTAAAAATAATTAAACATTGTGATAGAATTTTTAATTTATAATATATTAACATCAGACTAAATTGGGCAAATATTGAATGTTGATAATTATGTTGCTTAATAAGATATATTATTTAGCCCATCCAATTTATGTTTAACAATAGTTTATTTACAATGGTAAAAAAACAGATGCTTAATGTAATAAAATGAATGTGTGCTAAATTATTAACTTTCCCTAGGTGGTTATTTTTATAGGGCATATATTATAAAATATTTTACTATTAAAAATACTATCGTTGTTTTATAACTGACGTCTCATTTATAGTAAACGCGTTTTGTTCAGCGGTGTGGTATTTAACGCTGAGTTATTTACAAAATCAAGCCAGTAAATAGGTATAATTTATAAATATAGTGATGAAAACGCTATGATAAAATTTGAAAAACATATGTTGCGGACGTAAATTTTAAAATTATTCTGCACCACACCGTTTGAACAAAACGTGCTTACTATAAATGAGGTCTAAACGTGGAAATTCAAGAGGATACACTTAAGCGCTACTCTAATTATCCTAGCTTTCTCTATTCCTTCAAAAATGACGATTAAATTTAATCGGTCAATTTACATATTATTTCTTATATACAGGAGTTTTAATTAAATAAATATTATCTAAAATCCAAATCCAGCAAACAATGTTCAAAATATCACGTATCTATAAACAAAAAATGTCAATCCTCATTTAAAATCGATATTATTTTATTAACCGGTTAAATAATGAGCATCTTCGGCGGAAGTCTCGATTTTCTTGGTTTCTTCCTCCAAGAGTTTGGAGGTCAGGGAAATAAAATGGTTTTCGTAAGAGTGGATCAGATTTTGAATTGCTACTACGAGTTCCTTTTCAAATTTAATCGTATTTAGTTACTTCAGTTTAATATTTAAAGTGCCATAAAAGTAACGATGATTCATTTTTCGACAGTTACGAAAAATAAAGACGTTACATTTGTGTTTACATCACCATGTGTATATGTAAAAAATGACAATTTAGAAAATTTATTTTTTTATCACGTCACGCCTAACTAATTTGCTGCCTAGATGTTCTATTTTTTATTTGATTCTGAATAGCATTTTCTTTTAAAACAAAATATTAATAAATATAATAATGGATTTATACTTTGTTTTATAATTGTGCCTTTTTTATTATAATTTTAAGGTATTTTATTGGATTGCCATTGCTATTGGAAATATTATAGAAATGTCATGTTTATTGATTAAGATACTGTATTATATTTTTGCTAGTTTCCAGTTTTCCATATGTTTGCTATGTTTTTCAAACACTGTTTGGTATGTTTTTTTTAAATATTATTTTTGCTTTGAAATTATTTTAAATTGCTATGTTAATTAATATTTGCAAAGTTTTATTTACTTGACCTTTCTTAAATGAAGATATCAATAAGCTTCAACGATCTCAGAGCCAAGATATATTTAACAAGGCTTCAAAAATTTTTTATTTAATAGAGATGTGAGAATTTTTATCAATTATTTTTTGAAATGAATGGTTAGGTTATTTTTAACAAGGAATGGTGAGAGTATTGTTGTTAAACGACTTGTTTAGAGTCGATTTTGAAAAACGGCTAAAAACTCAATATTTTATACAGAAACTATTGCCTAAGCTTCGAGAAGCTGATAGATGTCTAGCGTGCCATCTATGAGAAAAATTTTCAAGCTTGCATAATATTTTACTAAATAAAATACTGAGTTAGGCGTTTTTAAAAATCAAGGCAAATCGAACAACACTAATTGAGATATATATATAATTATAAGCTATATACATCAATCACCAACAATTATTAAGAGTCATTTGATAGGATTATTAAAAATAATTTTAAAGAATAATAATAATAAAATATCTATTATTAATATAACAAGTGAAAATTTTTCAATAAACTTTTAATGTAATACATAGGATAATTAATTCCATTGCGAATATTAAAAAAAAAAGATAAGCAAAACGATTATTTACCCTTAATTTATAATTTTAATTATCAAAAATAAAATGAGAACATTTAAACAGCACTAGTATAAATCAATCAAAATAAGAGTGTCCTAACCATTTCCGAATAGAACCCCATTAAGAATTTTATTCGGAAATGTGAAGAGAAATTCAGAAGAATTTTATTGAAAACACCTAAAACAAGGTATCTTTATATAATATAATACAGTATTAAACCTTTCGAACCAGATAATTGCCATCACGCACAGCGATCCCAGTAGCACCTAAATAGATTATAATTCAATTTTTTGGAAAATTAAGTACTTTGTCGCAGGATAATTGTTGGGGCTTTTGGTTGGAAAAAAACTGAGTTAGAGTCAAAATATTGGGAATACTCTTCAGCATTTATTTTTATATTTGAAGAGTGCGCCTCAACTGCCTATATATGGGCAAGGGAGACACGAACTCTCATATTTCCAATCAAATGATGCCTTATAAGACCATATATTCTCATGCAACAATCTCATAGAAATCGGGCAAATTCTGTGATTACGCAAGTGTGCCTTCTTTGAACCCTCTTATTTTGGTGGAAGCCGGAAAAAAAATCAAAATAATTTTCCATATAGAGTACATATATATTAAAATAAATAATTTTTTAAAAAAAATAGATACACTAAATCCAAATAGAACAGATAAGCTTAATGCTACAGCGTACTTATGGGGTTTCATGCATCTTATTTAAATAAAACAAACAACATGCCAATAGAAGAAATCTTTAATTTTAAAACTAAATTATGTGAAAATTTAGCTTCATTTATTTTAATTATCAATATTTTTGTATTATTTTATATTGTTTTATTACAGTTTTATGATACAACTCAAATATAATAATAAATGATATTATTTAATAATATTTATATTGCATTTCTACATAAAAGTTGTTATTATGCAATTGAAAACTATTGTTTTTTAAATTTGAGTCCTTAAAAACTATTATTTCAGGTTATCCAACTTTTAATTGGCAACTTATAAATTCTTATATTTATTTATAAGAAAATTGAGGCTGGTACTAAATATTGATACAATAATAAGTAATTAATAATCGATTCATATCAAGCATTCTGAATACAAAACTTTAAAAAAAACTTAATGGAAGATTTTAGACATGTTTCATAATTCTATTAATTTCGAAAATTTATAAATTTCGAAGTTTTTTAAAATATATTTAGGATACAGCCTTTACAAAAAAAATATTTAAAGATCACATTCAAAATCTGTTTTAAACATTATTCATAAAAAAAAATTGGTATGAGTTTTTCTTAGTCACGGTATGCCCGGCCTATAAATTTTCATTCATTCAAAAGAAGAATATAAACCTTTGATCGAAGCAATTGGAATCAATAATCCATTGGCAGAATCGCTAAATAAATCTCTGGCAATAGAATGATCAACACTGACCGAATGATCGCTATGCACACTAGACCCGGATATTAAATTGCCTTTCAAATGTAAAATGTTTACATTTTTTTTCGAATTTTAATATATATGTAAATGAATAATTCAAATAAAAATATATTGTTGCTTTTTTATATTAGCTGAGACCTCTAAGATAGTTGGGAGGGGGGGGGGGTGCTACGATGTCTTTTAAAGTACAGGAGACTTATTTGGACATCTTAGTCAAAATCCTTTTATAATTAAATCATTTCTATATTTTAGTCATCAGGGTGGGGACTTAGCGTCATTGATTTAAGAGGAGTATAGGGGGCTCAGAATAAATTAAGGCAAGAATTTAGTTGTACTAGATTCAAAATTCGTTGCACAAATTCCACAATTCTCGCTTCATCTCGGAACAAATTTGGAGCAACTAGTTAATATTGCTATAATAATCAGGAAAAAGTTTAATGATAAAATCACAAACAAAATTAAATAAATTGCAAGATATTTGAATTTAGATATTAATTAAATTTTTTTTAAATAAATATAAACCTAATGCGAGTACAGCTGCTACCCTAATCTCGGGGCCATCGCTATACATATTTGATTGACTAACGTATTCATAATTGCCTTTATCGTCACTTCCTATCGATCTTTTACTATCAATGGCGGTTACAGGAGAGTCATTTTCCGAACTCTCTGTACTCCTGAACAGTGACACCAGGGGGTTTAGTGGGTTAAAAGAATTTATAAGATTTGTGGTATTCAATAAATTGCCATCGGTATTTATGGCCTTTTTCGTGGTTGAATTTGTATTTCGTAGGTCGTTGGACGAAGCTGAAATGGGGTCCAGGGGGTAAGAAGTATTAATGCTGGGTTGCGTGTTTTTTACTGCGACATCGATGGAAAAACGAGATTTTATGATAAGAGGCTTAAGTTTTTCTAGGGCAGAATCCCTCACGGCTCTCCACCTGGCGGGTTCGAACCGACGCCAAACGCAACTTAGACATATTACAAGCCATAGACGGAACAAACGTCTTTTACGGCCTGTTAGGAGGGATGGGGGAGCTTAATAGAATTTATTGTTGTTTTTTTGTATTGGGTGTTAAATTATAAAAGAGTATACAATATTAACTTGCAAACGAATTTGATATTAGATGCATGTTAACCTCCTCCCCCCACCCCAGAGAAAACAAATTAATAATTCATGTGGAGCAGCGCATATGGTAGCCATTATGGATTTTGTACAATTTAACCGAGGAAAGGGGGGGGGGGGTCCCGCTTCTAATAACAGTTTCGTTTCCGAATAATCCTATAAAACATCTATATACTTTAGGACAAGTTTATTTCAAGAAAAATGTGGGGGGGGGGGGCATATATTGGCAGAATCATTAAATATAAATGCATGGAACCTGCATTTGGATTGCGAAATGATTTTACAAGAGTAGAGTCCGATTTGTTGTCTATTTGGGCATCAGTCAGCTGTTCCAAACAAATGCTAATTATATTTTCTTGCATGCACGCCTCCTAGTATAAATTTTTTTTAAAAAATGTTTAAATGTCTAAATGACCTCTATATTTTCTTCTTTTTTTGTGCAAAAATGAAAGAAAAGGTGGATGAGAAATAATTAAACATCGTAGCTAGTGATGATGTTAAACGGCTCAATTTTTAAAAACGGTTAGCCCACAAAAAATATTACCCCAGCATGGAGAATTAGCGTAAACATGAGACTTGCGTAATCTTATTTAGGTAAAAATCTTAATTTAAAATCCGCGAAGTCGAGCCGTTTGACAACACTAATCGTAGCTTGATTAATGGGTTTCTAAACTTCGTAATATTATTAGAGCATTTAAAAATAAACATTTTACGAGAAATTTTTTTTGATAAGAGGAGTTAGAATATTTTTACAATAAAGAATAATTGTATTATTATTATTAACTTGTCCGACGGGATAGTGGTATAAAAGACTAGATATGCAAAAAAGAGCCATTGTCCTGTACTCAATCTAATATATAAATGATGAATAGTTACTTGTTAAATATGTATTATTGTTGTCAAACAGCGATTTTTAAAAATGGCATACCCAATATTTTAGCCAAAATTATCACGCAAGCCTATACATTAACGAAATCTTGAAGATTGCATAATATATTTTGGCTAAATTATTGGTTAGCCGTTTTTAAAAATCTAGTCGTTTAACAACACTATGTCAATAAATAAATTATATAAATATGGATTAATGATAATTAATGACTTAAACCTGCAAAGCTATAAAAACTTATTGAACTAAAAGCCAGTACCATTTTTTTACAAAATGATTTACTAAAAAATAAAATCGATTACCGGCATAGTGATATCACATAAAACGGTTATAAAATATTTATGTCCATTTTCTTTGATGAGATCGGCTTGGCAACTCTTATCATATATATATATATATATATAAATAAAACTAATTTTGTGAATTTTAAAAAACATAATATTATAATTATGCTGAATTTTAAATTACTCATAAAATAAGTTAACATTCCCACAGTTTGCGATGTGATTTTTGGGATACCCAGACATATTTATCAATTAAAATAATTATCGATTCTAACGATTCCAATATATATAATAACCTTCGTAGTTCAGATTCATAATCGATAGAAACCATTTTAAGCCTAACGTTTGTAAATTATAGACATTATGGGACCCGAAATCAAATAAAAAGGTTTGGAAAATAGAATCCTCAATAGGTTTTTTATTTTAAAAAAATAATAATAATTGTAAATAAAATTACAAAATCAACAACTCACATTATCGACGGATAATATCTTTGCCCAAACGTAAACTAACAAGGGCCTCATTTCCCGAGCTGGGCTCTGTAAAAGTTTTAGCATGTAAGGGAATATTCCCACCGACAAGGCCTTTTTTGAGATCAAAAGAAAAAAGAATATAGAAAAAATAATAGGATCAAATTAACCTGTTAACAACTTAAAAAAAGGTTAAAAAATCAGCTGCCAAGGGTAAGAATACTAATTGTCCAATCAACTCGTAAGCCTGTCAACAAGCCCCAACTCTGAATAATTTTAACCAGCAAACTCATCAATAAAATATAGGCTTGGTTTTTTAAACCTTCCCCCCACCCCCCCCCCCCCCAAAAAAAAAATAGAGTTATATTTATTTCATTTTTTTTGTCCTGAATAATCAAAATTCTAAAATGAAACTAAAAGGAAAAGAAAGTTATAGGGAGCTGGGAAACATTTAATTTTCATATAATAATTTATGACAATATTAATATTAGATTATCAAAGTTATTGTTGTAATCATAAGTTTTGCTAACGTGGATTAAACAAGATTTAGTTTTAACATACGTGTAGTGATATTTTTTTTTAATGATTGGCTCAATTAAGAAAGTCATTGTGAGCTGCGTTCCCCTTGTTTTATAAGGATTATTATATTTTGTGTTATTCTGATCATTATTATTTATGTCGATTTATAGATGTTATTATTAATTTTATATTATAGGGTTTATATTATTTGTGAATTTATTTTTAATATTTTCAAACTTATAAAAAGGTTTAAAAATTTTTTTTAATTATTCACTTATTTATTTGTAAGTCGAAATGAAAACTGTTAAAAAACAGAACTTAGTGATTCCCTTGTCCAAAAAGGATTAACGGTAAAAATCACTATAATTAAATAATTTAATATTAAGCAGCACGGTACAACAGCAAATAATTTTTGAATATTTAAATTTTGTGCATTAAAAATTCAAATAAATTTAGAGCTTGATTAAGAGGTTGTGTCGATGTTAAATATTGGATTGAGCCCCAATATTTTGTGCTTTTGAAAAATATCGGATTGAACCGATATTTCAGAAAACCGATCCAATATTTTTTTATTGTTTTGGGTTATTTTATTTGTGTATATAATTATATCATTATTTTTTATTTTATACAAAATTTTATATTAATACATCATATAAAAGGAACCCAAATTCAATTTTTTTTTAAAAAAATAGAATTATTTTTAAAAGATAATGTAGCTAAAAATTTGGTATTATTTTTATTGTTATATATTATCCGCAACAAGAAAAGCGTTTAAACATATCTAACGGAGTCAACTAGTGGTGCTAAATGATTCGATAGCTAAAAAATTTGCCAAGAATAAAATTACCCAACTTTAGAGATTTTGTTAACAAGATGATAGAAAGGTTTGTATATCTATTGACCAATTCGAGACTTAGGTAATATTTATTCGGCTCTTAATTTAGCCGTTTTATAATTCAGCTAAAAACATTGTCCATATTTAGATGATTAACTTTTGGAAATTAAAAACAATATACACTTAATCTTTCGTGAATATTAGTTGGTTTTTTTAAATTTTATTATGATATTGGTTCAAAGATAGATGGTAAATAAAAATCTATAAAAATATGGGATCGGTAACAGATTGGTTTTATAGTGATATAGGGAAATATAGGATCGAATCGGTGAAAAATATGTGAATTGACACAGCCCTACTTGAAAATATTTTCTACATGCATTTATAAAAGTTGAGCTGCCCATACTGGGCCTAAGTCTAAAAAAAATTTTTATAGTATTTGCTGTCTATATTACCCATGAATATTGGGTGGAAAATACAGCCCAAAAAACATTTAGTGATTATATTCTTTTGAATGGGGTTGTAATATATAAAGAGCCCTGTACCGGGCATCCGTTTTTGCAGCTATCTATGGCTTTGTCCAAAAATTTCCATATTTTTATGTGAACCGGTTTAAAGGGTATGGCTGTCAGGTGCGCATAGGGCTCTGACATATTTTTTAAATTAACTAATTTGGTATATTATAAAATTATATTCACTCTACTTGATTGACGGCAATGGCTCCTAAGTCTAAAAACTTTCCCAATAAGTCCAAAGCTTTGACTCTATGAATTTGACTGAGCAAAACCTAATCATAATAGATACATTTAAAAATTTAATTTTTAGTACAAATTTTGGAAACTTAAAATGAAATAAAACCATAATAAATATATTTTTTTAAATATTCACATATTCAAAAATATAAAGATGACTCAATTTTAAATTTTGGCCTTTACATTTATAGGAAAAAAAAAGATATTTAAGCTGGCCAACTTGTGCAAAATATTTTTAAGGACCAGGCCTGAAGTTTGTAAAAAAATTTAAAGTCTAGAATAAGGGATATTTATGCTACTTTTCCTTCATAAAAAATTATTAAGGTCTGGATGACTTTTACAAAAAAATTTTTATGGGCCAGGCCAAAGTAATCAGATCAAAAAATTCTATGAAGTTCGGGCTTGCGTTTGCAAACCCCTAATTCACATATCCCCTATAAACTGAACTGATTCTTGCATAATTTCATGGGCACAATAAACCCAAACCAGATATTAAATAAAATGAATAACTTGCAAAACAATGGGCAAAGAATCGGACAGGTCCCTGAGACCTGTCGAAGTGGGAGGAATTTTGGTTGAAACGAGTCTTGCCTCGAGAGCGGTGAGTTGTTGGGAAAAGAAGGCCTGACAAAGAGCCGACATTTCGGCAGTGAGAATTTCCAAATTGGATTCTAGCGTCGGATCCAAGGCAGCTTTGTCGCCCATGAGGGACGGATTGGTGGAGATAATTTTATTGGATTTCAATTTTGGAAGTTTGGAGATTTTTTTGGAGGAGGTGATGGAAGATGGTTTTTTGTTGGTTGCTGAAGAATTTGCTTTCAGGGTGTGATATTGTAGCAATTGGGCTTGCACCAACAATTGCCGCTGAAGTTTTACGTTGTTTAAATGAAACAGGTAGACCTTGAGGTGGGTCAGGGAAACGTCCATCACGTAATCCCATGCTAGCCTGTTGAAATTAGGGAATTAATTAATTAAGACTTTTAAAGTATTATGGTATTTAAAACTTTACAAAATAAAATGCAAAGGAAAAAAAATAACAGGTAATTTGAGGTATCTCATCGATTTCATTCCATATGTTATTTGGACATTTAACGGTATGGCATATATGATAAACTCAAGAGATATTAATAAATCAAAACACTAACTATATAAACGTTAAATGATCATACGATTTTAAAGTTCAATCAAAATGATACACTTAAAATCATTTTATTTTATTTCCACTTAGTAATTTCCAGAGCTGTCTCATCAAAGTCAGCTAATTATAATATTAATAAAATCATCATCACAAATCAAAGTAAGGATACATGTGCCCTTGTTGGATTATGAACACAGAGCAATGGCCTGTCATCTTCCCTTCCGTTGTATCATAGAAATCCATTTATCACTATATATAAATATAAAATACCATAATTTGTGATCGCAGGTCCTGGGTAGTTCCGGGATCGAAACGGGATGATTCCCGTAAAATTGCATGACCCTTTCAGCTAGCAAAAAATTTCGGAACAAGCTTGCCACGAGCAGATCCTGGCGAAATAGTCGTTGAAATAAATCTAATAGGGCAAATTTATAAAATCAAGGATAATTCGAATTACAGTGATAAACATTTTATAAAATTGTGAGCATTTAGGGTTATTTGCGCAGGTGTATAATAATATTATATAGCTTTAGAAAACCATGGTTAACTGATTTTAATGGTTTTGGATATAATATTAACCAAGAGTGATTAGTGGTCACCAGGTAAAATTTCTGATATATTTTTTTTACTGTGATAGTTATTAAATATTTATAAATGTCATATATCCAAAAATATAAATTTAATAAATAAGAATAAAATCTTCATTTTTATAATGAGATAATAAACCTTTAGGGAAACAATTCCAAGCAATGCTATCCGTGATAGCAGTAAATATCCAATTGAGTTCACCCAAAAGGGTCCTTCTATCACTAAGTTGACCGGGAATCTTATCGACGAGATCTAGATCGTTCAAGAATAGAGAGGTCTTGTTTTGAAGGATGTGCCTTTCATGAAGAAAAAATGGTTAATTAAATTGAAAACGTTTTTCATATTCAACAAAAATTCAATTGTACAGTATAGTATAATATAAATTTTGAATAAATATATCAAATCAACTAACCATTTAACCGCCATTTTGATCGGCGTAGTGAGACAGGAAGTGAAAACGTCTGCCGGAATATCCGGGTTCAGACTTAAATTTTCGTTGGCCCGGCAAGCAGCCAATAAGATTGCCGCGTTTGAAGCTAGAAATGAAGTAGATTGTTCATTCATGATCATGCGCACATTTTGAGGGTCAACAGTTGATTTTTTTGTTTCTCTAGTTTCTGATAAGAGGAATAAAAAAAATATTATTTTAATATAATTCCAAAAACTTCTAAGAACTAATTTGACAGAATGTTAAAAACATTCAGCATAACAAATATTTCCTATATAAGCAGTCCCTGAGATAAACTCGGAAATCCCTGAACTCGGGGCAAATGAGGATATCAGGGGTAAAATCATAGAACAGTCCAAGAGGCAATCAATTCCCTATTATAAATGTTGGGGGGGGGGGTGGATCAAAGTTCAAAAGTTTACATGGAATTGATGCAAGTTGTAGCCTAGTAAATTTGCTATAGCATGATAATCTCTTTCGATTGAGACAGGAAAGGTTATATATGGAAAATATTGTATATCACTGGTTAATTTGACCTAAGATTTAGCCTGAAATTAATTATATTAATTTTAGATTGTCTTTTATACGGGTTATATTTTTAAATGCAAATTTTATCTACCATTTTAAAGAACAACTAAGTTAAAGTTATCTAATTAAATTAAAAAATTATTGTTAATTTGTAAGTAAATTATTGTTTAAACTATTGTTATTTGAAAAATTTGTACAGATATGAATTTTAAAAAAAACCCCATACATCTTCTTTTAAAATCTTTTTATTTTATTCATGTAGAAAGATTTCATCTCATCTATGACTGTTTTCTTCTTCTTCTCTATTTCTCTCTCTTCTTCTCTCTCTTCTTTTCTTCATCCATAGCATTCACCTTTAGAATTTCAATTTCCTGTCATTATATGCATTAAAAATGCTTTTATCTCGTTTAGAATTTTTTTTGAGTAAATTGTTGTCAAACTTTATTTATAATAGCTGGGATAAGTGAATATTCGGATTAAAACGCTTAAAAAAATTAATACACAGATTTTTATTATTCAATTATCTTAAAAAATAATGACAAATAAAAATCAGTGTAAATAACAGTATCAGATCTGTAACGGTACCTCTTAAAATAAATATCAGATCGGCGAAAAAATTGTAGATCGGTGCAGCACTAATATTTATTGATTTCAAGAATAATAATTTCAAAAAATATAGCTCCAATTGTACAGAATGTATTCAAATTGAAGATATTAAATATTGACAACATCTATATTATAAAATACATTCAATTGAAAATAATTTAACAATGGTTTCTTCATAAATTCTACAAGAAAACAGATGTTTAATATAATTTAAAAAAATGAATACAAGTTTATATTAGTAACCTTGACTCTGGTTATTTTCCTCCAGGATATATTTTTTTATATTCTTATTTTATTATAAATCTGATTAAAACCAAAAAATTGTGATTCAATTAAAAAAAATTTGATTTTTTTAAAAAAATAACTATAAAACCTCTATGCGTTTATTTATACAGTTAACCTGTGATAGTGAGATTGTTAACGTTGTGGCTAGACGTTGAGGACGTAGAAGTGATTGGAATATTTTTGTTTTCACTCCTGGTAATTTCGACCTTTGCAAGAGATAATGAACACAAATATAATAAATACGTAACATTTATTTTAACACTATAGTCAAATATTTTAATTATGAGTAGTAAGCCATTAAATTTAGATAGCGTTGTTAAAAGGTTCAATTTCACCAAATTTAAATTAAGATTTTAGCCTAAATAATTTTAGACACAAGTCTGGAGATTTTGTTAATAAATTTCTCCCAAGCTCAGCCCACAATAAGTTCCAAAATTTTGCCCAAACCCATATCCAAAAAAATATATGGAAAAACTAATATAATATTAAATTCAAAAGTTCATAGAAAAATTGTATGTGGTTCAGAGGTTAGGTATTTCCACACATGATGGAATACATTTCCGGTAAAATCAGATTTTCAAATTATAAAAACAAACGCGCTCAAAAAAAAGACTTAAAGTTTAAAAAATAACACATTGCCGCTAACATAGATAATGTAACCCACCCAACTTATCTCAATAATTGATGAAAATAATTTTTTTTTAAAAAAATTTGTCTTCGTAACCTTATTTGACCCATTATTTTTTTTAAAAAAATGAAATCATTAGATTTTTCATCTCTAAATATTTTGATAGTTTAAAAAAATTAGCCCTAGAATTTTTCTTACGTTGGTATTGGAAGTGGCTTTTGTTTTATCGCCCTTGTCTTTGGATTCCAAATTTGAGGAGCCCGATTTGAAGAAAGAGGACAATATGGTGCCAGCATTGGAACAATCGAAAACGTATATGACTGGGGTGGATAGCCATTCCTTTAGATCATTCACTGATAAAGGAATGTATTGTGTGTAATTCTTTGTTGTTTTTTTAAATAATAAATAAAAATATAAGATTTTCGGATTGCATATATACCTCTATCGAAGGCATTCCACTAAAAATTTTATTTAGTTTTATTTTAGTTTTTTTAGTAAGTTGAGATTTTTAGGAGGAAACCCCCAATATAAATTTCAGAGACCTGCAGGCCTGGCCCTAAACCCGGCCCGGCCGTATTTTAAATTTTTTAAATATACCCGGGCCGGGCCTAAAATTTTTTTTTTAATATATCCGGGCCGGGCCTTAATATTTTTTATAAAAATTTTTACATTATGAGTTAATGGTTATAAGATTATATTATATTATAGTTATGATTAATATAATATTGGGTGATGGTTAACACTACCTAACAACCCACAGATCGATCTAATTATTAATTTCCTGCAAATTTATTTAAAGTATTAATATATTTTTTTATAATTCATATCTAAATTTTTACAACATATTTTACCAAAACAATCAAATAAAGGAATATCTTAAATAAGCCCCAATATTCAAGTATTATTAATATATTTTTTTATAATTCATATCTAAATTTTTAGAATATATTTTACCAAAAGAATCAAATAAAGGAATATCACTTCTTAAAGTTTGTAATACCTTTCAAAGCGAAAAGGAGAAATAAAATTGATTTTACTTAATATAAAGCATTTTTTAATTGAAAAATTTGTTTTACACAAGTATTATTTTATTTTTCTTTTTCTCTGTCCCAAATTCAAGCAATTACGTATGTAGTCAGGGACAGATCGCAAAATGACGGAAAACTATATAAAAGATTATATTAAATTACAAGAGGCTCAGGAAGTAAATGAAATACCATCGACCAGTCAAATTACGACTGTTGTTAAACAAACTGAATCGTTTTATGACAAATGGGGCGATGGTAATTCTGGTAATATGTCAATACCCGATGATGAATATTATAATTACATAAATAAAAAAATAGATGAAACATTTAAGGTGGATAATTTGTTAGAGTGGAATTTCCAATTTTAGCAAAATTGGCAAAACGGGTATTGGCAATTCCTGCTTCAAGTGCAAGCTGTGAGCGGAATTTTTCCACTACTGGGAGAATTCTTGAAGAAAGAAGAAGTAATCTTCAACCTGAAAAGGTAGATATGCTTCTCTTTCTTCATGATAATTTGTGAATTTTTAATATCTTTCTTGAGTATAGGGTTTCGTCAATCATGCTGGTTTTTTACTTTGCAAACTGTCAAATATTTATTGCATTTATTATATTTACCTTGAGTCATTAAAGTTTTTAATCCAACATTTTTCATTATTTTTTTTTACAATATTATATAATACAATTATCTTCTTTTGTTAAAAATTTATATTATAAAATAAATTATAATTGTGCAATTAGATTATATTTTCAAAATACTATTTATTATACATGCATTTTTTTAAATAGCCATTTATTTTTATTTTATAAATTAAATAGTAAATTAAATACAATATATTATATTCTCAAAATATTTTCCATTTTTATAAATTAAATATTAGTTTTATTTTTTTTAAATGTAATATAAAATATAGTGTATGACAAATATTATTACCATTTTTATGAATATTAGTTTTATTTTTATAAATGCAATATAAAATATAATATATGCTCAAAATATCCATTTTTATAAATAACAGTTTTATAATTTTTATAAATTCAATATAATATTCTCAAAATATTAGCTTTTTACATGTATTTTTTAAATAATAAGCGATAATACTCGCTGAAAAATATGGTAAAATACCTCATAGGTGAATTTTTGTATATTCCAGGTCGAATATAATTTTAAAAAATTCCGAGCCGTGTCTGAAATTTTTTTTTTAAAAAACATCCGGGCCGGGCCTAAAATTTTTAAATCGTGGCCGGGCCGGGCCGTAAAAAAGTTTTTTAAAAAATATCCGGGCCAGGCCGGGCCTTAAATTTTTAAATCCGAGCCGGGCCGGGCCGTAAAAAATTTTTTTTTAAAATATCCGGGCCGGGCCTAAAAAATTTAAAGCCGGGCCGGGCCGTGCAAATGGTACCTCTGCAGGTCTCTGATAAATTTAATAGGTTGAAAAAGTGAGGAGGGGGGGGGGGTTATTGGAAATTATGACTATTCATATTAAACATATTTTAATTCAAAAATATTATTAATATATAAGATTTTTGGATTAAATATTAATGGTGGTTGGTGTTGTTTATTCGACAAAAATTATTTTATTATTATCAGAGATCTGCAAAGTGGGACCAAAGAAATTAAACTGGTCGGGCGGGCCGGGAAATTCGTACATAAAATATTTTTGAGCAGGATCAGACAATTTATATATAAAAAGTTTAGACGGTGTTTAGCAGATCTCTGATTTATCTTAAAATTTTAATAGGCTAGCCATATTTTAAAATAAGCATATTTTAGAGTTTTATATAACAAACTATTATAAAAAAATGCCTTTTGTTTTTTTATGCTATTCCATATTGCGCTTATTAATAGATTTTCTGAAGAGATAATATGTAAGAACATCTTGTCGCTGTTATTGGAACTATTATCGTTATTAATTGATTAATGGGTGGTCATCTTTGGATGGTGCTAGTCCATGGGAATGTAAAAAAGTAATATATATTTCCTCAGTTATTTAATTTTTTTTATTACTTTAGCTAACCAAGGACAACGGTCATGACCGCTCTTTTTTCTAAACATGTGTTTATGACGACTTTTGGTAGTGAGTCACAGTTCTAAAAAAGAATGAAATTACTATATATATATTTCGTTTTTATATCCCCATGGACCATCACTTCCTTCTTTTAACCACAAGGACATCAAATAATAGCGATAGTGGATACCTAATAAAGATAGTACATCTACAAATTATGGCCTCAGGAAATTCTATCAATAAACGCAAAATGGAATACGATTAAGATAAGAAGTATTTTCCTTTATAATAGTTCGTATATAAAAATTTAAAAATATTGCATCCTAATAATCAACATATCTGTATGGACTACTTGCTTGCATATCGTGGATATATATATGTTACAGTTACACTCAATAAATCTATGCATACTTTCATTAAATATAAATATAACGCCATCTACATTATATTTTTTATTTATCAAAATAGTAAATATTTAGATAAAATTTTAAAAAAAGAAAAAAACGTTATCGATTTTTTTAATTAAACAGTTAAATATATGGGTAATAAATATTTTAAATAAATTTCAACACCCAAAAAAAAATCTCTTCTCAAACAATGTTAATTTTTTATTTTTTACCGGAAAAAAGAAAGATTTTTTTAAATCTCTTTTTTGATATTTTACAATGCAATTTTAAGGCTATGAAATGCAGAGTTGTTAAAGTAGCGGCGCTATCCTTTCTAGTAGCTATAGCTAATAGAGCGCTACTTTTTTCCCAATTATTTATTTCTTTAGCGTGCTCCTTTTTGAATGCAACTATAAACATGAAAATCTAAATATAATATCATAATTTATTATTTAATTTTGACATTGAAATTTATATTTTCAATTCGTATTATAAGCCTAAATCATCTGGTGTAAATTATTTAAAATGTCATCGCAAATGGATGTAAGTGAGTAAGACAATTATGATATTAATGAAATGGAAGGTTCCCTGGAAGAAAATGTTCTTGATAACAATAATACAATTTTCATTTCCAAAATTTGAAAATATTTTCAAATTAATGTAAAAACAAAAGGTGGCTACAAATTTATTTGTTCAAACTGTAAAAAAATATAACTTCAAATAAATCTAGTAGCTATAACCTAGAAAACACCTAAAGGTAATTGTCATTTTTAAATTTTTCTAATAGAATTTTTATTTTGTAAGAATGTTAATACCAACAGTTAGAGATAAAAAAAAACCATCTTATTAATTCTGGTATAGGGGAGACTACATTCAAAAGACCAATTCAATTCAAGCTAAATTGATTAATAATATTGCTAAGCAAATATTTCTTAGAAATTGGCTGATAAATGCCGATTTTATAATTGCTAAAGTTCAGCCAATATCATTGGTTGATAATCCATCATTTATTATGATTAAAACTCTATCTCTTGGTACAACAATTTTTTGTCATTATACACTAATGATTGAGATGGCAAACAAAGATGCCCTAGTTAGAACCATAAAAATGACTTCCATTGATAATTTTTTTTGAAATAAAGGATATTAATATAATAGAAAATCCCATAGACGCGTTTGTTAAATCTAAAAATTATTTTTGATAATTTTTATTATATTAAAAAGGTGAAACTTATCATTTTATTATTAAAATGCAGCAAAATAAATAAAAAATGAATATTACTATTAAATAGTTATTTTATTACATAAATTAGTCTTTTTACGTAAATTTTTATAATCAAAACTAACTACATTCAGGGATCCAAACCGAAACGAATTTCGGTTCGGTTCAGGTTCGGTTAGTAAAAAATTAAAATATCGGTTCGGTTCGAACCTCTAAAAACGGGTTTATATTCGAATTATGTATAGGGAAAAATTTTTTTTATTTTATCATTAATTTAAAAAACACTTATAGAAATCCTTCATTTTTATTAATTGCACATTATAAAATAACAGTTAATTTATAAATATAAAAATATATATCAATGATTAATTTTAATATGAACAATATTTTCCGTTTTTTAACTTAAATTTTTTTTATTAAGCCGTACAATTATTATATTTTCAAAATTCGTCTCACTCAAATTACATCTATAAGGAGATAGCATAAATTTAATTGTTGAAACATCTTTCCACACTAACTTGGGTGGCCGGCACTGCCAATATGAAATCAGATTTGATGTGTCATTTATAATAATATTTTGGATTTAATTTTTCTCTAAGCATTATAATTTATAAGCTTAAAATATTTAAAAAATGTTGTAAAATGACAATATACTAAAGTTTATAAAAATTATGGACACTTATCGATCAAATGTGATTGATGATAATCTTTAAATAATTCGAATATAATTGAAATCTAATAATAACTTGCATATTATTTTATAAGCTTAAAATCATGATACTCGAACCGGTTCAGAGGCATTTTAGTGGTTCGGTTCAGGTTCGGCTGAAATTTTTTTAGCAATTTAGATTCGGTTCAGGTTCGATAAAAAATACCGGTTTTTAGCGGTTTAGTTCAGGTTCGGTTTGGATCCCTGCTACATTTATATATTTATAAATGATGATTTTATGTATTATATATATACTATGCAATTTCATTATAAGCAAAAAACAAATTTAATTACTAATTTTTTTTATAAAAAGTAGCCAAAGCTACTTTTAAAAAATAATAGCTAATAGCGCACTACTTTTTTGATGGGTAGTGATAGTGGTAGCATGCTACTTTTTTTGACAAATAGCAATAGCAACGCTACTTTTAAAAGTAGGGTTTAACAACTCTGAAAAATTATATATAATTTGCAACTCTATATTAAGTATTTTTTCAAAAGAACAAGATTTTAAAAAATCAAACATTGCGTGATTTTTAACTTTGGAGGCATATATCTTTGGATCTGGTTAAACTAACGCTCTAAAATTTTGATTTTACTAAATTATAGAGCATAGATAACTATCATGCCAAATTTCGTTCATTTTATGGTCGTCCTAAAATTTCGTTTTTTTTTGATAGTTTACCCTTATACAAAAATTGCTCACCGCTGTTGATGTAACCCCTAAAATTCATACTGTTCTGAATTCTTGATTCTTTTACTATGCATTTATAAATATGACAAAGCATGGACTCATCAATAAATAATGTAAATGTGGGGTTCATCATATATTTGTGTATTGAGTATGCTGTTGAGAATACCGCAAAATAATTTTTTTTGAAATTTTCCTGTCTACTTTTTTTGGATTTCACATTTTCCAACCTGTAAAATCATTGGATACTTCTTATGGTTTCAATTCAAAACTATCTTCTATGGAAAAACATATATTCAGTGAATATAAATAGCCCTCTGAATTTTCTTTCAACTAACGAGCGAATAAAAGCCTGATTCATGGGTCTATTTTTAAAAACAGCTTGATTAAGATTAGAAACAAAATTATTATGTAAGCCTGGAGATTTTCATAGATGGTAGAAAGGTTTGGACATCTATTTGTCAAATCTCGAAAATTACGTAATATTATTTTGTCTAAAATGTTAATCGAGCCATTTTAAAAAAATTAACCCAAATCAGGTTTTTAAACACTACCACAAACACTCATTAGAAGTAAGATACATTTTGGATATATTTGTTCTTAAAAAAAAAATTTTTTAAAAAGTTGAATACAATTGTACTATAAAATTTGTATGAAAACATGATGTATTATATTGTTATCTTTTTGTATAACAATTATTTAGGTTCTTGCACTTTTATCATTTTTTTATATTTTATATTCATTTATGTAAAACACTGTTATTTTATAAACTATAATCAGCATTTATCAAAATAAACTATATTTATAAAAATTTGAGTAGAATCCATTTCATTAAATTATATAATATTTAGGTCTTATTAGATTTTAAAATCATTTAATTAGTTGATGATAAAAAATAGCCTAAATACTCCATTTTTATTGATGCAAAAAATAATTTAAAGAATCTAATATCAAAAAGAACTAGAAGCTTTAATCATAAAATTCATATATTAGGAATATTATTAAGTTGAGATATTATGGTTAAAAAATTTATTATTACCTTATTAAATACCCATAATTCTCCACTGTTAGTAGGAATAGGAACTCCATGACCATTATAATGGAATAATACACGCTCATCCTTAAGTTTAATAGAATATTGATTTGTTAATAAATATAAAAACTTTTGCATTTTTTCTCAAGGATAAGCATAATCGTTTTATATCTTCAATTGTAGGATCTAAACATTGTTTATATCTGGCTTTTGGCTGCCATTTGGTATATTGTTCTTGCAATTGCCCTCCTATCATTTCTAAAGCCTCGTGAGGACATAATGATGTAGGATCTTTAAAAAATTGGTAAATGCTTTATTTATTAAAGCTTACCAATCCAGCATTCAAGTGTTGCTCGGGGATTAATTTTAACTATATCTGGTGGGTCCACCCCAATATTTAAGCATAAAACTAACAGACCATTAACGGTTTTAACCTATTTTAATAAAATCATAAAAAATATATATATCTTACTCTATTGCTTATACGCCAATTAGCTGTTTCTTGGTGTCTGATATTTTCCCAATCTTTAGGGTAATCAAAAATGAGTGGAATTGCTTGAAAATTTATAGGGGAATCAAAATAACTTAGATAAGAAGACATTATCTTCTTAAATGTTAGGCTTAACTATTTATATAGGTATAACAACTGATTTGCCTCTCGCGTCAATTCCATAAGTTTGAAATTATTCCTATTCCAAAATGATAGTAATCAGCTGGAATTTATACCATTAAAAAATAAAATGTGTTTAATAAAATTGAATGATTAACATAATGATAAACCAATGATAAACATAATTTAATAAAGTAGTTTATAATAATATCGTTATATATATTATGACTGATGAAATAATATATATATTTTTTAAAAGTCTACTTTAATCCTACTTGCTAAGGCTAACTGTCCTCCCTATCTAAACTTTACCGCAATATATAATTTATTCCTTCCCTTAGAGCCAAGCAATTGCTAAATGCTAATGTACAATTTCTATAAAAATATTTTTTACAAACATTCAGAATTACATTGTGAGTCAAGAAAATAAAGCAGGGCAGTCCCATATCGTAAAAATAAAGCAATTTTAACCAGAGCTTAAAGAAATAGTTATATTGCTATGAAACTTTTCGATATAAGTCATTATAGGTACCGATTTTAAAGCCTATAAAATTTTGATACGGTTATCACCACTATATTTTTATTTCGAGTGAGATAACATCTGATTCGTAATTAATTTTTATAAAGTTTAAAGATAAGTTTGTAATGTAATTTATATTATAAATTATGGAAAATCATTATTTGGAATTAGATTGGAAGAATTGATGTATCATTAAAATGATTAGTTTTATATACTAGGCTGTAGTTTGAGGGAGGCAGGCGACATGATGTGACCCGCTAATTCTATAATATTTAGCGTGCCCCTGTAACAAATGAAAATTCTATTAAAAAACAAAGAAAATTTTTGAAATTGATTATTATTATATCTTAAAATGTAGACAATTCTTATATCTTATTGATTTTGAATAAACTATGAACGTGTTTAATATGATAAAATCTATACTGGTTATGTTTGTTAACCATAATCGTTTGCCATACATTTTTAATGGCAATGAAGCCTAAAAAAATAATATTGATATTTTAATCTTGAATAGTAGTGATATAATCTTAAATGATTGGTATTTAGCTTAACTGACAGACCTATACACTGTTAAATATAATAAATTTGAAGGAGAGTTTAATATTCCATTATTTATTTACTTATTAATTTAACCACCCTTTAAAAAATCCGAATTTAAGCTTATATGTATCCATTCTGAAAAGAAATATAAAAATTTATGGTGAAAAATATTGAATTTTTATCAAAAATATGGGTAACGCCTAACGCATATTGAGAAATTTATTATCGTTACTATTAATGCTACTCAGATTTAAAAAAAAAATTAAAAAAACTATCAAGGTTAATCTTATCTAAATTAATGAGTGGGTAGCACAAAGGGCAGGGAATTATTAACTCTTTAATCAATTTACAATTCGAATGTCAATATTGTTTTTAGGTGTGAATTTTGATGAATAAACACACATCTGCTGCCATATTTCACAGCTATTTATAGAAAACAACTTGGGATAATCAAATCAAACATAGGATTGATCAATATGCCAGAACAGGTTCAAATATTTAAAAGTTCTGAATTAGCTATTTTACTAATGAACGAGCTAGTAAATAAATATATTTACTCTACTCTAAAGTAAATACAAGGTATATTCTATAGAGTTTTCTTTTTCTCAAGGTATACCATAGGGGGGGGGGGCATAAACTAAGATTGTATGAAATTGGAGAGAGTAGAAGGTAGTTTTGATATATTTATATCCGGAATATTGAATTAGGAGAGAATAAGGGGTAATATCGTCATTGGCTCAATGGGAAGGCTGAATTCTTTTTGAATAAATTAAACTTTAATACAATATTATATATACACCTTTATTATTATTTATATCTATTTATATTTTGCGTATGTACTGTAAGTAGGATATTTATCAATATAAAAAAAAAATTATAGATGGATTATTATATAATAAATTAATATTTCATTTATTATTCCCAATCTAGATATTTTAAAATCTAAATAATATAATTTCTAATATATATTATAAGTCGGAGTAAAATTTGATTATAGATTTTATCATCATTCTTGTTTGCCCGCCATTTATATTTGGGACAAAAAAAATATAATATAAAAATATTCTTTAATTTGTCATATCTCATTTTATAATAATAAGAAAAAATTAAGTAAACATGAATACATGATCAATTCATCAAACAGGTAAAATTTTATTTCGTCCTATTTCTTTCCAAAAGATCTCGAAGACAAAAGGCCCTTACGACTGCTGAAGCTGGTTCTAGCGGAATCTTCTTCACGACCCGGTAATAAGCCTACCAACAAGGATTTAAGTTTCCATTTTCTTCTCCTATTTTCAGTGACATGGGAGGGTAAAGAGGAAACCAATAAAGGTTTGTCAGAATATTCGTTATTCTTTAGCGGTAAAACGTCATTATTATCTTTAGTATAAATTAAATGAGGAAAAAAAGATTTTAAAAAAATTATTCCCCTAGCCTTCTTAAAAAAACCTAAATTTAAGCGCTTTTTAAAAAAAATATATATCAAAATTTAGACATAAAAAATATATTAAAGCCTCGAAATTTCGCATATAGATTGCAAAAAGATTTGGCCATTTATTTAAAGAAATATCGAGGAATGGGTAATAATTTTTTAGGGGGCTAAAATCTTGATTTGGTCGTTTTTAAAAAAACGTTTGAATCGAGGTTTTTCCATTGAGGTAAAAAAAAAATTGTTTTTATTAATTCAAAAAGTAATTTTATTTATATATTAATGTACTGATTCCGATAAATGATTTTATCAAAAAATAGCGCAATTGAAAATAAACTAATCAAAGAATTAAAACCATCTTTTTCTAGGGCATCGCAAACAATTTCTTGGTGGATAATTTTTGGCCTAGGTGATTCTTCTGATGTGTGATTTTGATGAAAGTCTAATAAATTGTTAAAAATAGTATATAATTATAACGTTGAATCTCATTTAAGCACAATTTATACCATCTTCGTCGATGTCCTGAGCAATTTTGGAGTGGCTTAGACGATTATCAGATTTCAATTGCATCAACTTATCGTCCAACTCTTCTTCCTCTAGCAGAGAGTCTTCGATGTAATTTTCCCGCAATGCTTTCGAGAAAAATGAAACGGTTTTAAATTTGGCACTGAGGTCAGGGTAAAGTATTTCAACCACGTCCAAGAAAGTGGGTCTAGTTTTGGGCTGAAAATTCCAACATAGCTTCATGAGTTCGTACCTTTTAATTAATGGGGAAAAAAATTGCGTATAAAGATAGAATGTACCTCCTTTGCATGCTTTATTTATCAAAACTAAATTTTAACTAAATTTAATTCCGAATATGTTATATATCAGAAATAATGATTAATTTAATAATTCAGCTTATGTTTTTAGTTACATTTAGTAAATAATTTTGTAAATTTTGCCATTAAAAATTAAATTAATGTCATTCGTTTATTTATATCTTTTAAAGATTCTTTATATTCAGATTAGATAACATCGCAACTGTACAATTTATATTTTTATTATAATAAACTCTTATTCTATTATTTGGATCATTCTAATTAACATTTTATATATATATAATTTTAGTTGAGATAGATAATGTAATATAATATAAATAAATTCTGATAAAATACCTGACATCTATTAGATATTAGTAATTTATTTAAAACCGGTTTGAGACTGAAGCTCGGAGAATTGATCATAGTTCTTAACCGGTCCTGCTTTAATTTAAGACCGTAGAACCGTTTATTATCATTTATATCTTTTTTTTAGTCATATAGTATCCTTTTTCAAATACGGATAGGACATTATTTAACTAAAAAAAAAGTTTATGTTGATTCCTGATAATATATATTTTTATTATCTATATTATTCTTAAACCTCCTTCAATTATCATTAATTTATTGTTGATATTTGATAATAATAAATATATTATTTTTAAATTATTTATAAATATTAATCATTAAATCGAAAAAATTCGAAGACCTATAGCTGATTTTTTTTTAAAAAAAAAATAATAATAAAATTCCATTTCAAAGCTCCGTTTTAATTTCTTTGGCCCGGTCATTTTTCCGAGGTCCAGATTTTGAATTGTTAATAATATTGTGGACTTACCCATAATTTTTAAAAATTTCGTTATTAGGAATCACTTTTTCTTAATTTTTTTGCCAATTGTAAATGGTTAAAAAATATGAGCAATAAATAAATATTGAACACTCCATACTCCATTGTATGATTTTATTACCATTTTCCAGCTGATTAATTAGTATAATTTAAAAAAATTATTTTTATTTATTTTTTTTGTTAAGCCCGAAAATTTTTTTTTGGGTGGGTGGGTGGGGGGGGGCATGTTTCAGTGATGTTGATTTAAGATCAAAATATAAAATGATGAATTAAAATAATTATTACAATTGATCAGGACATCCGTGAGGCTTTTCCAAGATTCCACCATTGATAACATAGTTGACGACCTGTTCGTTAGAAAGGCCTTGATAAGGTTGCCAGGCTAAGGTAGCAATTTCCCAGAGCACTATGCCGTATGACCTATAATAAAATATGTATACATATAAAATATTTTTGTTAGTTAAAATGGTCAAAATCGTGGACAGAACCCAAAAGATAATTCGGGGAGACCGGGGTAAAACATTTTTAATATTTTGCGCCTTTATTACCATATAAAATTGAAGTTAAATCAATTAAGAACTAATTTTAGTTAAAACAAAAAATGTGTAAATCTCATCCTATAACACTTTTTGAACAATTATTAATTCTGTAAAGTGTGTCATTTTTGTCATTTTATTCGTTCCTCAATGTCTAATCTACGAATAAACTTGGTTTTCGATTTCTAGCTTATATAAAAGAATTGCTAGAGCCATTTAAGCTAACTCAACATCCCTGGGGGTATGATGGCAAGGGGCAAATTGACAAATTTAGGCAAACAGAAATTTCCAAGGGCAACGATTCCATAAAATATTTTTGGCGGGTTTTCTGTTCTCACCAATTATATTTGTAATGATCGTTCTAGAGATGATACCGTTTTAATAAGGTCATTCTTAATGATATCCATTGTGGGTTAAGTATGATATATGTTATTTTAAGCCGAAAGGCTTGCCATTTTACCCAGGGTCGTTGGTAAATAATAAAAAACAAAAACAACTTTAACTTAATCTTAGATAGCCCCTCCCCGTTGTTCCGATTTGGTCAAAATATCTTTTTATTTGGTGTAGATTTTAATTTTTTAAAAAATCTTTTTATCAGACATAATATTTTAACCCGCTTTATCACTAGTTGCTTTACTCCAAGATAAGATTTATAAAATAGTTATTGTGGCTTTTAACTAAGCTATAAATAAACGTCCAATAACTTTTAGTTAAGACTTTCTACCAAATTTCAAACCCCTTCGGCGATAGCTTCACACTTTAAAGAAAATTAATGTATGCCAATGGTTTAAATTTTTTAGTCAGAGAAATATTAAAAGAAAATATTACATGTTATGGGGAACATTCTATAACGAATTGTATATCGATCAATTAATTTAATATCTCATACACAAGTTAAAACTTTAAAAGAATTTCTCGACATGTCCCTATTTTCAACCACTTCCCCTACCACACACTTCTACACACAAAAAACGACATTAATTTTTATAGTTTCTTATATTATGAATTCTATATTGGCCCCTCTTTTTAAAAACCGTCCAAAAAAGTATTATATTTTGTTTTAAATGACTCTAGGTAAGAAAAAAAAGAATATTTAATGAATTTAAAAGGGATTCCGCGAGGAAAGAATCATTAGCGTCAATACATGTAATAAATCCAGGCTAGTTTACATTTTTATGTGATGGGGTAATTTTTGGGTAGGTAAGGTATATTCTATTACGAGAGAAATCTTATTTAAAAAATCGATCAGAATCTATTAAAGATAATTTAAAATTTACCAGACATCGGATTGAGAAGTAAATATGCCATCTTTTAGGGATTCCGGCGACATCCATCTAACAGGGAGTAATCCTTTGCCTCCTTTTCTATAATAATCTGTTTCGTATATGTCCCTAGTCATACCAAAGTCTTCCAAAAAAACACAATTTTTGTGAATATTTTATCAGTATTCGATTCATTAAATATAATATTATTTGGATAAGCCTGCTGGGTACCCTAAATAATAATAGACACTTTAGTTTATCGCGATGGGGCAAATTTTCTAAATTCTCATTTTCATATTAAAAATGGCGACGATTTATATTATTCTTTAAATGTAATAAATCTATTTTTTTTAAAAAAAATAAACCTCCAACTTTGACAGTCATATCCTCGGCCACCATGCAATTCCGAGCGGCTAAATCCCTATGCACTACGTGCAGTGTCGATAGGTAAGCCATTCCATCCGCGATCTCTCCCGCCATTTGCAAGTACTGATTAAATGTAAGCGGCTTTCTTTTTAAAATAGATTCTTTTATGGAAGAGGGGGAAAAATGTTTGGGGTTCGAGTTTGTAGTTTCGTTGGTAGGTGAGCTAGAAGTGACGGGGCTCATAGAACTATGGGGACGATTATCCAGGTTATCAGGATTATCCACGTTTACGAGATCTAGCACGTTGGTTGATCCAGTATTTGATGATTGCTTGGATAAAAAATTACATATAAAGATGTTTTATAATCAATGCCACTCATTATATGATCATTGCTACACACACTCGATAGGTAAATATCCCGATACTGATTGAGCGTTATATATACAGATCTATTTTTTTAAAACATAAACCTAACCCTACCCTCATATATAGTTATTCGAGTGTTAAAATGAACCATTTACACTATTTTTTAAGCTGAGAAAATTTAGTTTTAAAGTTTAGAACAAATTTAAGAAGAAGAAAAAGTAATGGCTTCTAATATAATGAAATTTCGTGACCAAAATACGAGTAAAATCAATTCAATATTCAAAATAGTTCTTCAATAATTATGCCCACATTGACAAAATCCCAATCTTATGCCAATTCGCAATACATTCATTCAACCTGATGAAAGTTGGTAAAGATGATACTAATAAAATACCTTATATTTTTTCAATATCTCTAATACTATAAAGATTTTTATAAAATTTAGAATATTATTTCAGAAAGTAGTTATTATTGACATAAGTGTTGTTAAACAGCTCGATTTGCCCAATATATTTTGCTCATAGATGGCAAAAAGGTTTGGATATCTTTTAACGAAATCTCGCGGCTTGCATAACATTTGGCTAAAATATCGAGTTGGCCATCTTTTAAAATCGACAATTTAAAAACATTAATTGACCATAATAAAATTTATGCTTTGACAATAATATATATATTTAAAACTATTTTATCCATTTTTTTTCTAGAAAAATTAGTGATCACGATCCTGCGAAGTTTGTACCAATTAAAAAACCCTAAAGTATATATATATTTATTTAAAGTTTACCTTGCCCTTAAGTATATTTTTATTCTTCGCTAACCTTGTTCTTCAACACAAAAAATTGATAAGGCTCCTTATTTTCAACTTTTCAAAATTAATGACGAGACTAATTATTTTTTATTTATCTACTCTATATATATATATCAACACAAATAATAATTTCTTTTTTTTTAACAAATAATAAATAAATAAAATATCATGAAAAAAAAAAATAACAAAAAATATTAAAAAAAACATTATTTTAATAAAAATCGATATTCTAATATTAAAAAAAATTATTTTAATAATAATCGATATTCTATAATTTATAATCCACTCATCAACCCCTAGAAGAATCCGCTGTCATTTCTCTCCGAATCAGAGATTAGATAGTCGAAGATATCGTCCCAGGTCTCGGAATACTCCTCCTCGTCTCGCATTAATGCCCGCGTTCTTTCCTCCCAACCAACTCCCATCAAGTCTCTCCACGCATCCTCTTCAGATATTTCCTCACCAGTAGTCTCTTGTGAATCCGCCCCCTTTGCTCCAGCCCTCTCCCCACTCATTCCACGGCGGCGTCACCCCCATTTCCTCCCCAGCATCCAATCCTAGCATATTCCTCTGTTCGTCCACCTCTCCCACTCCCGCAGAATCTGACTGTTACTGTTGATTCCTCCATTCAGGCCACATCAACTCCATCGTCCCTTCCACAGCGTCCAATTCAAGCAAGCCCTCCTCGCTCCCTCCCGCAAAACCCCACAGTTGTTGATGATCCCACCACTCCGGCCACGTCACCTCTCTGGTCTCCTCAGTAGTCTCCGGCGTTCCTTGGGCACCACCTTCTCACATGTCCTCTTTCTCCACATGAATGGCATATTCGTCGATCTCTCCGTCTCCTGGTTCCACCAATTCTACCTGATGACCGCCGACCCCCTTCCCCTCTGGACATCCACATTCTGGGCGATGTCTGTCGGGGCGCCATCACAAAATGCATCTCCACATCCTCGAAAATCCAGCTTCTGCTTACCGGCGTCATTTTTTCCAATCCACGCTTAAAAAGTATTCAACATCAGGTAGAATTGGTGGAACCAGGAGACGGAGAGATCGACGAATATGCCATTTATGTGGAGAAAGAGGACATGTGAGAAGGTGGTGCCCAAGGAACGCCGGAGACTACTGAGGAGACCAGAGAGGTGACGTGAGTGGTGGGATTATCAACAACTGTCGGATTTTGCGGGAGGGAGCGAGGAGGGCTTGCTCGAATTGGACGCTGTGGAAGGGACGATGGAGTTGATGTGGCCTGAATGGGGGAATCAACAGCAACAGTCAGATTCTGCGGGAGTGGGAGAGGTGGACGAACAGAGGAATATGCTAGGATTGGATGCTGGGGAGGAAATGGGGGTGACGCCGCCGTGGAATGAGTGGGGAGAGGGCTGGAGCAAAGGGAGGCGGATTCACAAGAGACTAATGGTGAGGAAATATCTGAAGAGGATGCGTGGAGAGACTTGATGGGAGTTGGTTGGGAGGAAAGAACGGGGGCATTAATGCGAGACGAGGAGGAGTATTCCGAGACCTGGGACGATATCTTCGACTATCTAATCTCTGATTCGGAGAGGGATGACAGCGGATTCTTCTAGGGGTTAGCTGTGATGAGTGGATTATAAATTATAGAATATCGATTAAACGGATTACCAGGAACGAATATTAAAAATGAATATAATAATGTAATACTTAAAGAAACGAAAAATGAAGGAAATAATGCTCAAGTAATAACTTGTTTTGGGTGTAGAAATATCGGACATTATGCGAGGGATTGTCCTATAGTATGACTGTATGATAGTGAAAAAAACAACATTTGGGGTTATTACATCGAAAAACCCATTAAATCAAAAGGGCGAATTAATACCGAAAAATACATTAAGTTTTAAAAATAAATTGGGAATCAAAATAAAAGAAGAAATAAGTAATAATGATTCGGTTATCAAAAATAAGGAAAATGAGCAGCCCAAGTCAAACGTTCAAATTTGTAATATGCCAATTTTAATGGGAAAAAATAATAGTAATTATGATGATTGTCCGCGTGTGAAAATTAATGTGGGCAGTAAAGAAATTACAATGTTACTGGATACAGGAGCTACTATATCAGTCATGGGATGAAAAGAATTTTATAAATTATGGCCTAATAAGCAAATGATAAATGATAAAATAATAGAAAACAATTAAATGGAACTGAAATTGTAGTTTTGGGAAGGGTAAATTTACCAGTATTAATTAAAGAGACAATGTATTTTTTGGATCTTTGGATACTTAAGGAAGAAATTGGTGCGATTATGGGTTGGGCTTGGATATCAAAATTTGGGTTAGAGAATAATTTTTGGGATATGTTTCAGGTAAAAAATAGAGTTAATGAAAATATTGAAATACCAAAAATGACTGTAGAGGAGTTGAATATTAAAAACGTAGAAAATAAATTGGTAAAAAATATGATGTCAGAAAATATTAAAATTAAAAGTTTAATGGATAATAATCAGAAAATTAAAGAAATTCATAATTTGGAATTAGATGTTGTTTCAAAAACTGATGATGATTTTAAAAATTTGGAGATTAAAAATGAAATAATGAACGAAGAAATCAAATTAGAATGTAATGAAAGAAGTATAAAGAATGGAGAAATTGTTTGTGTGGAAAATAAAGTTAAGGGTATTGATAAAATTAAAAATTTAATAGATAATATGTTGGAAATTACGGAAAATGTAAAATTAATAAGTGGGGAAATTGATCAAGGTTTTCCTGAAATTGTAAATATTAATTGCGACGAAAATTATAAAAATGAAATGGATAAAATTTTGGATTTGAAAATCGATAATGTTTGGGAAGCTAATGTTGAGGATTTTAAGTTGGAAATTGATAATAAGGTATTTGAAGAAGAATCCGAGTTAAAGAATAGTTATATAAAATGTGATAAAATATATAAAGAATCAAATTTAGAGCAGGAAAAATTGCCTGTATCACTAAAATTCTCGGCGAAATTTGTAAGAAAAAAGATGGAAAACGAAGATTTGTTAAAAGAAAAAGAGTCATATGAAAATTTGGAAAAGTTACGAAATACGGTGATAAATTTAGGGGTTAAATATGAAGATTTTTGAGGAAAAATTGGGATGTTTGGTGGATTATGAAGTAGACATACGTAAATGAATTAAATAATTGGTTACGTGATGGAATTATTTGTCCTATTGGATATAGTGAATGGGCAACACCATTAGTTCCGGTGCAGAAGGCCAATGGAAAGTTGAGAATTTGTGCAGATTTCCGTGTTACTCTTAATCCATGGGTAGTTGAAGTAAAATACCCGTTACCAAGAATTGATGAAATTTTAGCAAATTTAAGAGGGGCAAAATAGGGGCTCCGTACACCTTACCTTCAACAAACAATTACAATTATGAGATTGATGATACCTAACTGAATGATCATGACTGACCAATGATGGATCAATCAATCTAGGACTCATAAACCCAATACCGTCTGTCCGAAACGTAAAAGATGAACGGTGCAATATTAAAAGGACAACAACGTTATAATCGACTCTTTGATTCAACTGTAACAATACTTCGACGGCTATCATTGAAGACCAGAAAAGGATGTATGAAATGATAAAAAAAAGAATAAACATAAAAACAATTCTTATATATGTGAGTTATATTTAAACTTTATATACTGATTGTTTTTCTAAAATAATTACTCGAAATTGTATCATTTTTGCCCCGGGTTTTTGTTCCTTAAAAAGGGGGGCGTTTTATAACCTTGTATATTTTTTTATATTTTTTTTATTGGGATTATTGATTTTATTTTAAAATGTTATTGAAAATATGAAATATTATTTTAAAAAGAAAATTATCATTATTATTCGATTTTATTATTTTATAAATACAATAAAGAATTATTTTATCTGAGTTTAGCATTCACAACAATTTATATTCATTAGCAGTTGCAACAATTTACAATTATTTTATCTCAGTTTTTCAGTCGCAACAATTGGAAGGAATTTTTTTAATTGTTTGAAATATATTTAAAATTGAAATATTTAAAAACTGAGGTTAGAATAAAGTGAGATCAAAGGTTAAAAAGATATATGATAGATGTTGCGAGACAAATAATAAAATATTCGATTATAGGTGTTCAAGTTCTGATCTGGAATCTTTCATCTTCAAACGAAGATGAAAAACTAAATAATTGAAATAATATCATACTTGTTTAAATAATATATTAAATAGTCTATATATTTTCAATAAAGCATGAAAAATAACTAAGCATTTTTTAAAAAAAAATTTAGCGTTGTTTCCCGGAAAATTTTCTTCAATTAGAGTTTCTTGAGAAATTTACAACCCTTTATATAATATTGGTCAAGAAAATATACTGGTACACATGGATAGGTAAACCTGTTCTGTATGTGGCCTGTGAGCTCTCAGAAAAGTTTTTAAATCTCCTCCCTCCATAAGTTCCATCAGTACTAAAGTAGGTTGACTTTTGCTCACCACACCCAACAATTTTACGATGTGATAACAATCGAAACCTCTAAAATATTTTTGTTTTCGTTATAATAATGTAAACAATCAGAAATCTAGTAAAATGACTGTTAAATAAATTTATAAATATCCTGGAAATAATTTAAAAAAATAATAAAATCAAGAGGGATCTAAATGAATATTTATGATAGTTAATTAAAACTATTTCAAATTTAAAAAGATTATAATAATTTTTTTTAAAAATTAAATCTAACAAAAAAAGAGAAGCTTAATGTTTAAATATTTTAAAATTATTTATTTAAATAATGTACTTCATAACTGAAGCCTCTTTTAAAAATTGCAATTTTTCGTTGGCGGACGCCGATTCATTGATAGTCTTGATGGCACAATCTATATACACATCTGTAACATTTAAATAAAATAAAGTAGTAAACAAAACAAAAAAAGGTATAATTTGTGTTTCTATTAATTTCCTTTTGAAATTAATCAATATGAAATAGAGAAAGTCATTATTAGTTTTTAAGAAATATTTTAATATTTATCAATATATTTTAGATAAAATGAGTAGAATAAAATAAAAATTCAAAGATACTACCGGTTAGATACGGGTAAGGGCAAAACGGACGAAGGCCCGCAAAAGGATGAATATAAGGGTATATAAAAATATATATTAAAAATATGGCCCACTATTCAAAATTTTTTGGCTAGCAAGTGGAAGCCCCTGTATGTATAATAACAATAAGGAGAAAAATTGATTTATCATCGACCCTGTATTTTATTAATTAATTTTTGTACTTAATATCGACTTCGACAGTTAATTAATTATTATTTTATTTTAATAAATACTAGGATTAGCAGGTGCGTACACAGCGGGGGAGGGGGGGGGGACAGGGGACAAATCCCCCCCAAGCCAAAAAATGCAGATGCCGGATTATATTTTTCAAAAATATTATTTGTATTATATTTTTCAAAAATATTATTTGTTAATATTAATTTATATTTTTTAATATTTATTCCTATCTCATATATATATTTAATTACATTTATTTATCACATTCATCTACTAGGTTATTTTATCAATTAATTTCGATTTCAAGTTTTCCTTGGCGTATTTACCTATTATTTTCAAATTTTAGTGGCGTATAATTTATCTAAATTTCTAGTCAAATAATAATTATCTCTGAAACTCCTTGTCCAACAAGGAGAAAGAAACTGCAAGCTTGTCCAACGAGATCGAGTCTCCGCCATCAAGCAGTAACAGCTTTTATGGAGTTAGAAGAGCCGATTATTAATGCTATTACTGAAATATCACAATGGCTTGAAAAAAATATTTCCAAGAAAATTATTGGATTCAATACTTATTCCAAATTTTTTTTCTCATTAGAATGTATTATTTAATTATACAACTATTTTATGTAATACTTTTCAAAAACATAACATTCACTTGATTAAGAAGATGAGAATAGCGGAGAGCATTTTATTAGAACTCAAGGAAATTAAAGTTAATGTTGATTTCATATTTTATATGTTATTGTTGAGTCAAAAGCAGAGCTATACTTTAATATTTGTCCCCCTCGACTTGCACAAGCTCATCATAAAAACATTAATATAGGATCTGTAGAAGAGTATTATAAAACAAATGTCCCCTCTCTTAGATACATTTATAACCCAAATAAATGAATGGTTTTTAATTCATCATGCAGCACTTACAAATCCGCAGATATTACTACCACAAAAACCTTTCCAACCTTTTTCAGATGGTGATAGAAAAAATAATAAATATTTGTTAGATTTTTATCATGAAGATGTTAAAATATCTTATGATGCCTTATTGGCTGAATAACTATGATTATAACTATGGTTGATACAGTCCTAAAAAATACTATGGATGATTTGCATTATTTCAAACACATTTTAGATTATATTCCCAATGTATTAAAATGGTTATATATATAAATTAGCAACTCTTCCCATAAGTAAACTAATTAATGAGAGAACATTCTCTTTTTTAAGGAGAATAACAGAGCCCTGCAGAGGTACCATTTGCAGGATACGACCCAGATTTTTTTTTTAAATTTTTTTCGGCCCGGGTTTTTTTTTTAAAAATTTTCAGGCCCTGCCCGAATTTTTTTAAAATGAATTATATTTATTTTAGATTTTTATAGCTAATAATGGCAATTTTAAATATTTGGTTTTAAAATATACAGCTCGGCCCGGATATTTTTTTAAAACAATCTGAAAATACGGTCCGATTACCTATGAAATACAATTTCTGAAAGTAGATTGAATGATTTGGATCTTTTGAATATTCATAGACATTTAACGCCAAGCAAGGATTGATAATTGGAAAATTAGCTCAAAACATACAAAATACAATTATTCCTAAGAAACTATTTGTGTATTAATTTATATTTCCAACATTTAAATTTTTTATACTTTATGTATTTTAAAAGCTCAAAAAATTCAAATTTCAATTTTGGGTCATTTAAGTGATTTATATCGTGGGTTATATTCACTTTATATTTTATAATTCACATTTATTTTATAGTTTTTCAATGCCGGTTTGTATATATAATTTTTTTAATTCACATTAGTTTAAAATTGTGTATTAGAAAAGTTATTAATCCTAATAAATTTATGCTTAGTATTTTTAATTAACAATATTATTTCTTAAAAATTTATTATCCCCCCCAGACCAAATTCCTGCGTACGCGCCTGAGAATTAGTTATTAAAGTTCGAAGTCTGATTAAATATAGATGTGCTATAAAAGTCACATTAATTACTTTATATATGGGCATGGGGAGGGCTGGAAGCACACCTTTTCATCAATCAAATGAATTTCTACTCCCGGCGAAATTTTTGTAGTTTATCTAAATGTACTATCATGATATTATACCATGCTGAATATTATGCAACTTAATTCATATCCTAAATATTGATAATTAGTAGATTTCTCTATAAGAGTCAGTGTAGAAGTAATTTTGATCTAATTATATGCTAAATATAAAAATTTTCAAAAAAAAATGAATGTTCCCCCTTCCCAGAGAAAATATTGCGGCCCTGTAATGATATCTGTTAAGGAATCTTAGATTTAAAAAGTACATGTCATTTTTGACATGTAACATTAATATAAATTGACCACTATCTGTCCATATTAAGCCCTATGATCATTCCATTCTATCGTGGAGTGTCAATGCCGTATTTAAACCTACCAACAACTCTTTAGGTGTTATTTTAACATTTAAAGTAGAAAATATTTTATTAGCCTTCAACTGGAAGTTAATATTTTATGATTATTTTTTTTTAAATTACTATCATCTTTATTTGTCGTTGTATTATCATTAGATTGTTGTGATAGCAATATTTTTCCCTTGTAAACTACTCCGAAAGAACCCTGTCCTAAGGGGGGTGAGTCTTGATCAATTATCACCTTATAACGATCAATTTCGTATTCGTCCGGCACGTAAACTTCGGCGGAGTTGATGTAATCAGGGTTAATGGACGTGTATACCTTATAATACATAATAATATATAGTAATAACTAATAAGTACAAGTATGAAAACGGATTTTTTTAGGCATTTTGATCAAAATCATATATATATATGGGTAAAAACCTAAGGAACATGATATTTGTTACATCTGAATATTTATTATTGTAAAGGTTAAGATATATCTTAGGTCACGTTTCACGTTATATATTTTAAAAGGACGTTATTTGTATATTATATTATAACTTTCCGACATGTAATATTATATTATTGAGGTTAATCAAATTGCATATTATTAGAAGTTAAATTGGATAATTATATAAATGTATATATACCAAAAGAATTACAAATAAAATTCATTATCGTTTTTTAAACATTAATCGATTTAATAATGTTGAAATTCGTTTATAATAAATAAATAAAAATTGATAATATGTGCACCATATAAGACAAATCTAATTATTCGCCGTGATATTGGTCTAATTCTAATCCACAATTATACCATGCTTATAAAACACTAACTAAGTAATTAGAAGAAAGCCAACTTTGATATTTTTTTAAAAAAAAGTCTCAAAAATATACTCTTTATTTTATTTGATCCTCATTTCAATTGTTAGCAAAGAATTTAAAAATGGAGTGATTTTAAAATATAATATAAGTACCCATCCATTTATAGGGGGAATAACGCCATCAATGATATTAACACCATCGCCATTTTTATAATAATAATCGCCATTTTTTCCTCTTCCTCCACGATACCGTCTCCTTCCGCCGTAAACGAACTTCTTATGTTTCTTATCGTAAAAGGCGTAACATTGGTATCGTCTGCGAAAAAATATTAGATATCAGTTTTAATAGTTCAAACGCATAATGCTCTCTTTTTTTCAAAAAAAAGAAAGTAAAATCATTTTTAAAAACTTGCGTAGGCAGAGACAATAAATTGACCAAAGTGCTACAGCAAAAACAAAAATGGCCGAAATAACGGCGAACCAGGTGGCCATTGTTTTTCGGCGAGTTAGCCACATACGCTTGAACTGAGATGTTGTAGAGTGTTCGTCTAACAAACAAATAAAAATAATCTAAATATTTTTATTTTGCCGTAAATAATATTGGCAAAATTCTCTCTTTTTTTTGGGGGGGGGGGGGGGGAGGGGAGTGTTTAAGTAATATAACGTTTACAAGTGATATACTTACGGAATCTAGCTTTATCGGGGATTTAAGTCAAATTCGATCCCGGAACTGTGAACCAGGTTCAGAGGGCATTTTTCGAGAACCTGAACCCGTTGTTTTTCAGACTCTTTATGAACCCGATCCGAACCCATTTTTTGAAAATAACTGGTTGAACCAAATCGGATAAACGATTTTGATTTGGGCGTGAACCCGAACCGAACCTGGCTAAAAAATTTATGGGTTAGAAGCCCTGATTTTTGTCTCATAGATTTCGGGGGAAAAAATTCACAACTAATCTCTAACTTTAACATGTATTAAGAATATATATCAATTTTTATTAAAACATTTCTAAAAAAAAATTAAACCCTCTGGCATATACACATAAAACTCGGGGGCCATCTCAGATTTTTTATATAAGGACGTTGATTGGAGTGTAAACGAATAATTTCCGGGGTCCAATATGCGTTGCCATCCGTTGTACGTTTGGTAATTGGATATTGATACGCAATCACGATATAATCTCTAGTTTTTTTTCAGTTTTTTGCAAAAAAAATATGAATAATTTACTCCTTGGTAGGGTTACTAAAAGGTAATGTCCGCTGGACCTATTGTCAGCGGAAAAAAATGTCCCTAGATTATAATGTTCGTATATTATCTTTCTGAACAGAAAATTTATATCTGGTAATTAATCATTATTTTAGTATATTCTCCAAAATTTTTGTTTTCTACCTATAAATAATTATATCTCTGTTTAATTTGTGTTAAGACTTGATATTTTAATTAAAATATATAATAAATAGAATTCATTAACACTAATTCATTAATGATAAAATCTATATTTATTAGATCCGCATATCCAAATGTAAGGTGGGTTATCTGCACAGCATATTACTATGTATATTATGAGTCCTTTTCGTTTATTTATATTAATTTATTATTGAATTCAATATTTAAAAAAAGTTGTTTTTGAATTTAAAAAAAAATAGTTGTCTTATAAATTTTTTAAAAAAAGAAATTTGTTTCAAAAAAAAAAATTTTTTGATCTGACTGAGTTATTTAATTTTTCAAATGATTGAATAAGAAATGCACAGGCGCGTATCCAGCGGGGTAGGGGAGTATCCCAGCCCCCCCCCTCCCGAAAAAATGGGAATGTATAAATAAGTTGTTTAATTGCACAGCAATTTTGTACAATATTTTTCAAAAAATAATATAGATTTGGAGGAAACTGTGAGAATCGCCAATATATTTATATTGCAACTTCAAAAATTAAGAAATGATCACGAATTTCATGAAATTTTTGTGATTGTTGAGGAGAAAGCCAAATTATATAATTTGAGATCTGCACTCAGCTTGCACCAAGACAAACAAATCGTTTCAATATAAATATGGAATCAATTGAGGACTATTATAAAATTAGTTTTTATTCCACTTTTGGAAACATTCTTAATTTATAAGATTTATGGTTCACCAAATGAGGCTATTTAATTTACAATTTTTATTACCTATAAATCTTTCTCGGGAAATGTTAAATCTTGATTTCGAAAAAATCAAATACTTGGCTGAATTTTATTCAGAGGATATTAATGTATCTGAAGGCCAATTGATTTCTGATTTTAAATCTTGGTACGATAGATTAATTTTACTAGATGATATTCCTAGAAACGCAATGGAAGCATTGCATAATTTAAAATATATTTTGGAATTTTTTTTTAAAATTATATACTTTGGCAACATTACCAATAAGCACAAGAAAAAATGAAAGAATTTTTTCGTCATTAAAGAGAATAAAAACCTATCTTAGGAGTACCACGGTTAAATGGTTCAACCTTACTTAATATTCATCGATTTAATCCCAAGCACAGAACAAATTATTCAAAAATTGGCGCAATCACAAAGACGATTTTCACTTATGAGCCATATTTTATTTACATTTTACATATCTTTTAATTATAAATTTTTTTAACAATTATTTTGTTTTTTTTCCCAATATTTCTTTTATGTGCCCGAAATTGTTAATCTTTAAAATAGGATTGGTTATAATAATTTCATATGATGATTAGTTTAATAAAAAAAATTTGATGCTCCTACACGCCTAGAAATGCAAAAAGTTTTATTAATGAGAATTTTAACGATATTGGTCTTGGGATTAATTAAACATTTCAACTTATATAAAATCCAAAAATGGTATTGCATCGTAAAAAATTAAGCTATAAAATATTAAGTCGAATATTATAAGAATCCCCCCACCCAGCTCACCCACACCCCCCCCCCCTTCAAAAAAAATTAATATTTTAAAAACATACAAAAATTAATATAATATCTATTTTATTTTTTTTCAAATATTTATTGAAAGTGTCAATCAAGACAGTTGAATTTCGAAGATAGAAAGATAGCACGGAGAAGAGGAAAGTTGGGACTAATTTGAATAATGAGAGATATTTTTAATTTACTTTGTTTATAATAATAAACGAGCATTAATGGAAAACAAATTTAAGCTAATATAGTTAAAAATTAATTTAATCCTAATTTCAATAAACTTTATATTTATAGAAAACTCGGGTGGGGGGAAGGAATATTAATTTTATGATAATTGAATAAACATTTGGATGGTCAATTCCGCGAAACAATATCTCGTAAGAGACTATCATGCCATTTGGGTTTTCGGGAGCCTCCCATTGAATCCTAGCGGTTTGGTTGGAGATAAAAACTTCGGTCTTGACCGTCGACACGTTTATATTATCGGCTCCTCCTAATGGCAAAGTTCTCAATACGATCAGTGTTTCCTGACTACATTTCCTGTCCGCTTTTGGGTCAGGGTAAGGTAAACTTTTGTCAGTATCCGTTGAATTAACGTTATTGAGCGTGTTGGGATTATTTTTAATATTGGTATATATTTTGGGAAGATCTGATAAGTTATCTTGGCAGGCTTTAACCTAAGAATTATATATATAATAGTTTGAATAAAATATTAGTTTAGCCTTAAATTTTATTTTTAAAAAAAAGGAAATGAGGTATTTAATTACTCAACAAATTAAATATAAACCGAGATTTTATAGTGTTGAAAATGCTTGAGCCCGGTTATATTGAAACTAATATTGTTGAAACCGATTACGGTAGCCATTCTAACGATCAAGGCTGGATCGGTATATTGTGTTATTTCGAGCGTTTTATTATTAATCTTGCTAGATGCTTCGAACGGGAGATTAAGTGATGATGATGATGATGTTGGTATGATATTATCGGTCGCTTCTACCCGCTGAGAGTTATTGAAATCAGAGTCTGAATTATTATAATTATCGAATTTTATTTTGCCATAAGGATTCGAGATGCCCTGCTGGTAATTGCTATATAATATATCGTTTAGTTTGTCAACTGTGTGATGGGAACCCCGGGAAGATTCGTTTAGTTTGAGCCAGGAATAGTACAATAATTTTACTTCTTCCCTTTCTTCTTGAGCGTTAAAATCTGGTCTTTAAAAATTAATATATAATTTTTAGACTTTTTTTTATATATTGATATCATTATTTTAAACGCAAATATCTAATAATTTTTTTTTTTTTAAAAATGGTTGCAATAAATTAAATTTTATAAAAAAAATGGTGAAACAAAAAAATGCAACATTGTTAAAGTATAACAAGCATTATATAATCCTTCCCCGAGGGAAAGAGAAATTAAAAAGCCTAAAAAATGGAAAGTTGTTAAAAGCTAGAAATATTTACGGCTAACCTCTTGATGTAGGTTATGTCGTGTAAAAAATTTTCGAAGGCGATTTTATCCCTCTCTTCTCGTTCATCGTACCGGGATACTTTTCTAACCTTGGCGCTGTTAGCTAGGTCTAATTGGTCGCAAGGGCAATACTTGGGGTGCGATATATTGTCATTCGAATAAGGATTGTTGAGCAAATTTTCATTCAAAGGAAAAGGGGAAGTATGGTGATCTCCTTTGGTACCGTTACTGAAAACGTATTGCGCTTTATTCAATCACAAAAAAAAGTACTTATTAACTTTACAGTTAAAATAGTATTAAATTATATCGCCGGTCACACTGCAAAACTTTGTAGTAGAATTTAACATTTTGATCAAAAAGAAATTATTTTGCAAGGATAATTTTTAAAAAGAAGATTTTTTGAGAATCGAATTTTGCCAAATTCCAAATTTTGTGATTTTTATGCATTAAAAAATATTTCATAATTGAAACCACAATTTTTTTTTAATCTTTAAATTTTTTTTATCTTTCAAAAGATATGATCTTTGCTCAAAATTTTAGGCAAAAAAAATCTTCGTAAAATATTTGCCAAACTCTACTTGTAAGTTGTCCTTCTCCTTTTCAAAAAATTTCAGTAGAGACAAAAAAAATTTATTAATAATTTGATTTTAAATAAAAACATGTTTCTAAATAATTAATATAAAACTTTATACCATCTTATATGCGTTCCTAGAAATTTTTATCTTCTTTCTTTCATGAAATATATATTTTATTATTGAAATTTAGATATTATTGGATGTTATCCTATGTACCCCAATATGATTTTTTAAAAATGTTTATAGTAATGATTAAGATTTGAAATTTTATGTGATGATATGGAGGAGCTAAATATATATATTTCTGCAAAAAAATACGTATTTTGAAAATATGTCACTTACGAGGTTATGCAGTGTGATCGACATATACGATTTGATCACTTTACTATATTACTATATTTATGGATGACGAGAAATAGAAAGAAACTATATTTTTAAAAAATATATATTATAATATGTTTACTTGTCGCGGGTAATGGTTGAAGGCAATAATCCCTGGCAAAGTTCAGATTTTTATGGGGGATTATTCGTTTCCAGGTTACGATGTAATTAGTTATTTTACCGTTAGGAAATTTTGGTGGCGACCATTTTATGTTCAAACTACTAGATGTGAATTTAAGCGGGAGGCCTCTCAGATTCAAGGGAGGGCTAGGTTCTGATATACAAACATGCGTTATATAACATATTAATAGGTTCATAATCATTTTTATTTTTAGACAATCTAAATAAACATGACCAAACATCATATGGATGTTTAACTACATAGTATATATCTTTATTGCGTTAAAAACGAATGCGAAACAACATTATTTATGCAATTTCCTCATTATTTAAGGTAACATCGATTTAGCAGATGCAAATACAAAAAGTAACAAATAAAAAGTTAACGAAAAGTTGATGATAAAAATCATATTTGTTGGGGTCTTTTTTATAAATACCCTCAAAATCTTGCCTCTCCTGTTTCAAAAAGCCCTGGAGCGAGGGATTTTACTATCATAAGAAATAATTCGTTTCAAAACACCCGCAATAAAATAAGGGTTTTGGGAGAGACATAAATATTCCACTCCTTGCCGCATTACCTTGTAAAGAGTTGAAGACTATGATTATGGTCCATAATAATTTTAGGGAAATCATAATTATGATGGTGTTTCCTACATTTGACCCACTGAAGATCTTAGAGAAAGTAAGATATGGTTAAGAAGAATGGTCATGCCAGTATATTCCATGTTGAAAAGTGAATGACCCCCCTTTCCTCAATCTAATACTCTTTTCATGGGTTCTCACTTTTCATGAATTCTCAATAGTGAATCAGATCCCAAACCATCGCAAACATGGTTACACGGTATGATTGTAGTCTTCACCATTTTATTTTTGTTAAGAGTCAAATACGCGAACAGGAAACACTTAGAACTGCCCCCCCATCTTTTGTTGCCGAAATTATAAAGAATTTCGAATTCATTTTTACATTAGAATACTCTTCGAGCGGTAAACATTAACTCCGCATTTAGGTAAATCACTTAAATGGCTGGTATCTTATTCTATTCTAGACAATAGGGAAGCTTATCGGACGGTTGCTGAATTCAATCAAAATAACCAAAATATAAAAAATGAGATACAAAAATAAGAAACATATTAAGATATACCATCAGGTTTGGTTCGAAAATAAACGATGTCACTACGAGCACCAAAATTTTCTGAAGGCATGGTAAACGTTTTAACATAAACGGCGTACCAGGTATAAGGTTTGAGATCCTTAATCATCTCTTTAACGAAAGGTGTTTTTTGTTTATTGTCAACAAATTTATTAGGCCCGTTAAGGTTCTCGTTCGTATATTCTTCATCGAAAATGGCTCGAAACTTGGAAAATAACACAAAATTTTGCTTTTTATCTCGATGATTTTGGGTGACAAATGACTCCCTATCGTCAAAATTATCATCGTGGCTATTTTTGAAATTCTTATTTCCCTTAATATTGTCGATATCGAACGCTTTCTCTTCGATAGATAATCTATTGTGAGCGGGCACGTCCACTATTTTCCAAGGATCTTCGGAGTCACAAACGTCCTTGTCTTGAGAAAAATTGACCGTTGGATGCCAACTTTCTCCCGATTCCATCGCATTATTGTTGAGGTCGTTGGTGTTCGAATCGTTTTCTTGATGTACAACGCCAAAACCTTTCTGACTTTTTTCTGGATCGTTAGCTGCATCGATAGAGTTAGAAAGAACTGTATGTTGTTGGAGATCGATCGATGAAAATGAATGATTTCTTTTTTGAGTTATTTCGGAATCATCCAATTCTTTGATATTTCTGGCTTCAGATGAGCCGTAAGGAAGGTGTGAAGGTAATTCTCGGTATGATAGAATGTAACTCAATCGGGATCTAGGGTCGTGAGACTTAAAGCTTTCCCATCTGATTATTGCCATCTTACTCCTAACGAAGAACACGGTTAGAGCTAATTTTTGAACTTCGCCTAATTGGATGTTTTTTTTAAATGAGGAAAAATTATGGATTATGAATTAATAGGTTATATCTAGGTAAGTAAAAGAACAAAAAAAAACTGATTTTTAAATGTAAAAATGTGGGTAAAAAATGGGGAAAAAATTAGATTTTAAAAAAAATGCTTAGAAATTTATTTTAGCGAAATTGTAAAATACTTCAAAAATTAAATCAATAAAAAAATTTTAAATATATAATATATAATGTTTTCCTTATATCTTTCTTTCAGAATTATATTCCACCTTCACCCCCCCCCCTCCCTCCCACCCAAAAAAAAACCTTTTTTTACTAAAATGAGAAAAATATTAGTGTTAGTTTAAATACGTGTTTTGGACCCGATAAAATTTTCGCCAGCCCGGTAAGGGTCCATAATTAAATTTAAAATAGAACTAGTCAGGGACGAGTCTACCCAAACCTAAACATTAGAAATTACTAATAAATTATCTAAAAAAAATAAGAGTTTTAAAAAAAAGGTTTTAATAGCCTATTTTTATCTAAATGCTGGATAAAATTTGAAAAGGAAGTATAATCAAGTTATGACAAATGCATGTATTAAGAGTAAAATCAAAAAAAAAAATTCAAGTTTGGATGTAGCCCTAATAGTTTTTCATTTTTGTTATAAATTAAACATAAAAATCATAAAATTTCTGAACCTTCTCTCGGTCCAGATTCGGGAAAAAGTACGGGTAAGGGACCCAGTTTTCAGAACCCTGGTTTTAAATTAAACGATTCTTCGAGTAATAAAAAAAATTTTATAGAGTAAAAATATTGTATATATTTGTATAAATACGTTACAAGCAATCTTGTCGCCGTTGGAGATAACGGAAATATCTGTATTATCCGTTTTGCCCGTCAGACCGACAAAATCGACCAATTTCCTTATAACCGACAAACAAAGACGTGGGTTTAAGTGGAAAAATAGCTTCCCCCGCAAAATGGTCAAATTTTTGAAAGAGCCGTCGAAATCCCACAAAAATTCGAGGTTATAATTTTCGAATACTATAAAACTGTATCTGAGAAAAAAGTAAAAATATTATAACATTATTATAAAAGTGTATGTTTATTAATATTTCATTAAAGGGAATTATTTAGCATATCCCTTTTTTAAAAAAATATATTTTTGCAAATTCCAAGAGTTAGTAGTGTTGTTAAAGTAATAAGTTATTTTATGAAATATGTTAAATATTAATATATATCTTATTTATTATCTTATGGTTTTCTTAGTCACATAGTGTGTATAAAAAAAGGGCATTCTATGATTTTAAAAATAGAGAAAGTTATATATGAGGAATCGCCAAATTTAAAAATTACTGTTAACTAAATAAAAAATGTATACCTTTGTTATAGATGTTAATAAATAATATTTTAATATTATAAATTTAAATAATAATTATCATAAATTTAAATAAATTATAATGATAATAAAAATAAAAATATAATATTAAATTAATTTAAATAAATTATAATATTAATTAAATAAATTATAATATTAATTAAAATAAATTTTAATATTAATTTAAATATCAATTAAAATAAATTTTTAATATTAATTTAAATAATAATTTAAATAAATTATAAAAATAATAAAATTTTATTATAAAATGTATTTAAATAAATTATAATATTAATTAAAATAAATAATAATATTAATTAAATAATTTATAATGATAATTATAATAAACGAATGACCTTTTATAATATATATATCGCGATTTCTACTTTAACTTACTTCATTTTATTTTATATAGTAACATTCAATATTCTAAAATAATATTATATAACGTCAAAATTTTATATATATAATTACAATGTAATTCTTCATTCTAAATTTTAATAAAATAGTTTTATTATTCTAAGCTAGCCCATCATATGTTTCTAACACCCTTACATCTAGCCCCCCTGTAAAACATATTTAGGTCTAGGGAAGCGTATTTTAGTGGAAAAAAAAATGCTAGCACACTTTTTAAACAACATCAATTCTTGGAATAATAGTTTATTATATAATTGTTTTACTTATTATATTTATTTTTTTTGGTGCAAATAAATAATTATATTGTGTAATTTTTGTTTCTGAGCAAATAAATATTTATAATGCCGTATATTTTTTTTTCATGGCGATTATTTACTTTATTTAATAGTATTTCTATTTAAATTTCCTTTTTTAAATTAAAATTTGCAAATCGCAACATTTAATTATTTTGTATATTAAAAAAAAGAATCATATTAAATAATTATTAGTTTAAAATAATTTATAAAGTAACTCGTAATGTAATCAATTACTTTTAAGGATATACTTATAAACAATTACTTTAAAAAATATGATTGGTTACTTTTTTAAGAATGTAACACGTTACTATTTGATTTTAACACTACTAGAGATTTGCCTATGTTTCATAATACATTTCGATAAGGTTTCTATATTAGAGGGTTAGGTTGGCCATAATATCAAGAATTTATGACCCACCCCCTCCCAAGGCATACAATATTACATAATATAAATTAATATACTGCTTATTCCACAATTCTTGGCCTCGTATAACGGACAAATTACGGAGAAAATCGAGAGAAACGACCGAATAAGATCGAGATATTTTGACGTACCCTCTAACCTCTTCGATATGCCCCAAATTTATGGTGAGTTCTTTGGCGACTCCCTCTAAAGGGTAAACATTAAATTATAATTATTGATTCTAAAAATATCGCTGATTCGGTTCAATGACAAAAAGTCCTCGGCTAAAAATTATGTTCCTCCGTTTTTTAGCTGGATATAATCGATTAAAAATAAAGCGATTACCCAATAAAATAAGTGACTCATTTTAAAAAAAAAAATCCTTAGAATAAAAGTTTCTAAAATAATATTTTCAAATTTTACAAAATAAATAATATAATTGCAAAAAAATATATATTCACGCGCGCCATGGATAGCGATTTCCAAGTTTCCATCGATCACTGTACAATCTTTCAACGTTTGTGAGTCGGCTATGTTTAATATTGGCTGAGATTGGCACACTTAAAAAAAGTGTAAACATAATATATATATAGTATAGTATAAAATGTCGTGAATTATTATAAAATTTTAAATGGTCCTTGATTACCAATTAAGATTTAATTTAAATAGTGGCTACGTGGGTTAGCTGCCCTTGGCATTAAAAGTAGGGGGATAATCCAACATGAGAGGACTTGAAAGAGGAGGAGGGTATAAGAGGCCCTGATTATATTTGAAATATTATATATAAAATAAACTACCTTTCGGACACGGGCCAGAACATTTGAGACATAAATGGGGATCCATTTTGTCCTCCATGTAGTTTACCGGACATTTTTCAACGCATTGATTCCCAAATATTTTATATTTCAGAACGGGCTTGTCATTAATTTCGTTCGAATACAAAGTATCGTCCGTCTGGGATTGTAAAGTATTGTCGGGTAATAAAATGACCCTTTTCATAGGATCGCGGCAAAATGAAGCGGTAACACATCTCCGACCAAGATACTATTTTTGTTAAAAAACGTTTTATTTTTTTTATTTCCTGATTTTTTTTATCATTAATAATTTAAAATTACTCTGGCAATATTATCAGAAAAGTTTTGGACTTGTAATCCTTTGAAAAAGTACTGGACCCTGTTTAAAATAGATTTTATAAAATATAGCTCAAGCCCAAAAGGGACATGTTGGATAAGATGAATTGCTGTAGACTAGTTCAAAATTCCCGATTCTTTCTAATCCCTCAATTCCTTGAACACTTTTCCTTCGCCATTAGGCCAGAATCACTTATACAAACTCTTAAAATATTTATAGATAATATAGATTAAACGAAAACTTAGGCTCAGCAAATTATTGGGATAATAAAAAATATTTCCGATATTTCAATTATAATAATAAATCTTTAGTGAGTTTGATCTCCAAATGCCCCCCCCTTCCAGTATTTACATCTCTCGTAATTATTTTTCAATTCCTTCTATATCATTTTTTAAATTTAATTGTGCCTATACTTTTAACCTCCAACTTCTCTAGCCTTACATTTTCTTTCCTATATAATCCCGCATTCCTTAAACGGGTTATGAAACTAGCCTAATCTCTCCTTTATTTTAACATTAAAAGGGAGGGTTCATCTTTAAGTCACTCCGAATGTCTTCGTTCCTGATATGCCATATCCAATATCTAGTGTAACTCTAACTAGTTACTTTTGAAAATAATAACTGTAACCATAATTAGTTAAGGATGATACCAGTAATTGGTCATTTTAAATAACTTTCAACGACACTACCAAATATCTATCTGAGCATTTTTTCAGCAACGCATAAACTTTTATACATTAAAGGTGCTTAAATAACGTAAGTATGAAGAAAATAATAAATAACACTTTTTTTATATATATATCCAAGGTCAAAAATGAAATGATGATAAAATAAAATAACCAATTTTTAATTGGATTTTGTCTGTATACAATCATGGTGGCTTTTATAGATAGTATAAAAAAGTATTATGAAAGTAATGACACTGCTTTTTTTTATATCCCAAGGTCAACAATGAAATGATGATAAAATAAATTACCAATTTTTAATTGGATTTTTTATTATTATTAACTATATAATTTTTAAAATTTAAAAGAATATTAATTATTGTCATGAATGAAAAACTTAGAAAAAAATAGATAGAAAGAAATAAAAGATAAATTTCCTGTTGAATAATGAAGAAGGGTATTTATAAACGCAAAGAGTTACAATAAAATGGCTAAAAACAATATTTTTTTATAAAAAAAAAGTATTCGGAAACAAAAACATAAAATGGATCAAAGCAAATTTAATTTTAAAAAAATATATTTATTTTATTTTAAAATTTTTCCATAAAATCGTTCTTAAAATCGATACAAAAAAAAATCTAAATCTCTAAAAGATATAAATTTAACTTTTCTAAACATTATAAATATAATAACTCTTTTTTTTAATGCATTATAATAAAATATTTTTATAAAAAAACCTATCTTTCTTTCTCATTTATCTGAGGGCGAACGGTTCTTTTTTTTAATTTTAAAAAATTGTAAGTGTATAAATAAACCTCGTAGGTATTAGAAGGACATTTGGCGTGACATTCCTTTTTATAGTAGAAATTTTTGCACACCGTACAGTTTTTGGCGGTCGGTCCCAAACACCCGCTCAGGCATTCCTTGTGGCAACAATTACCATATTTGTCGCACACTTTCGTTTGACAATGAATACACACTAAAATAAAACATTTTTTAAAATATAATTAATTTTTAAAAAAAAATTTAGTTGCTGCTTTCTTTCTTTAATTAAAAGGGTTTAACTTTATAGTATTAAAATTATAAATAAATGCTTATATTTTTCATAGAGGAGACCGAAATTGTTACCCATAAGTGATTTTTTTTTGTAGCAAAGATATATCATTTTATATGTATTGATATTTTTTTTTCCTACTTGAGGAAGGATAGGGTGAGGCTGGGGTATAATTTCTTAAATTATTTTTTTGAATAAAACCTAAGTTTTTCAAAAATACTAACATTTTTGCTTATTTTTCTTCTTTAAAATTATAGTTATTATTAGGAAGAACTAAAGCCATACGTCCATAAATCCCACCGAATCCGAAAAAGGATTTTTGTTCGACCAATTTAATCCTTAATCCGAGAAAATTTATTTGCTCAACTAATCCAATCTTTAATCAGGGAAAATTTATTTGCTCGATCAAAATTCGAGCATATTTTTCCCCAAATATTTGAGTCCGATTAGAGATTTTTTTCAAAAATCATAATCCGACGACGATCAAATAAATGTCTGTCCAACAGGGCTATAGGAAAAACTGTTTTTAAATCAAATATTATGAATAATCGTCAAATGGTATAATTGTTTGGTACCAATTATAGTGGGATTGGATAGATGGCTCCTGCCATTTTTTTAAAAAATTTAATTAATCTTTTTTTTCTTTTTGTAAAAATTCAACCCGAATTGACTCGAATAATGATTATATCAGCTAAAAAGGATCATATTATATTAAAAAACACAAAGAAAATAAATAGAAATACAACTTACAACAAATTACAATACAATTACAATACAATTATAATAATTCAATTACATTAGAACACCAACCATAAGTAATATGCCTATGATCTTCTCTTCTAAGTTTTTTAACATTTTAAAATTAGGAGAGTACAATAGGTTAGAATTCTTGTGAATTCAATTCAAAAAAAAATCGAAATAAATAAAATTGTATTTTATTCAAGTATGATAAATAATAAAAAGTTAACTCTTTAGGGTACAGATCATGTCATTAATCATTCTTTTATATAAAATTTTATATGAACTTTAAATTTTTTCGGATCATAATTTACATGATTTGAATATGATAATTTTTTAAATCAACCACCAAGTGCTAGGATCATACCAACCCCGGTCTCGTCATAAAACAAATATAAATTAAATTTTTCAGAGGGGGTTGGGGTCCCAAATCCCATTTCGACCAAAATACTTAAAGGTGCGTTATTCATTTCAAATCTGAAAAGTATTATTCTGAACTTTAAAATGAATGAAGTAATGTTTGTCAAAATAAAAACTTCAATCTACCGATTTTTGCCTAAAATCTTGATTTCGTAATTTTTTTCAAAAAATAGGCAAACCACGCTAGTTTAAAATGGTACACCTTAAGGTTGAAATTAATTGTATTTTACAAGGTAAAATGCTATAATAGCCAGCTTTGGTGCGAGGGCTATATAATCAACAATTATATTGAATATTATAAAAAGAATCACTATTATAAACATTATAATCCCTGAAAAATAATGGAAGTAGCAGGTCATATCATGAACAAAATAATTTTTATAAGAAGGCCCTAAAATTGTAGACAATAATTTTAAAGGTTATTTAAAATATATCGTATATAATAAATAAATAAATCAGATAACTGCCCATGTAACATTTTCACGGACCGGCGCGGATTTTTTAATTTTCGACCCGGTCCGGAATTTTTAGGCCCGGCCCGGATATTTTTTTTAAAAAAATTTTAGGCTCTACCCAGCCCGAGTATATTTTTAAATATTATATTACGACCCTGCCCGATATACATAATAAATCATTATTATTATGACCTATTTGGCAAGAATTTTCACCCCAGCACAAATGAGTAACGGATTGTATCTCTTTGATATTGTTGTTATACCCGGCTTTACGATTGCTTTTGAAATTGACAGGGCATTCGGTCGGCAAGATCTGGTTCCACTTAAATTATTTTAATTTTTTTTTAAAATATATATTTTCAAATAATGCTGCTCATAAATAAAATGAAGATTTCCCCTTTATAAAAGTAATTGTTAATTTTAATTATCAATTAAATGTGAAATGTGCATAAAATTGTGCAGAAATTTGTTAATAAATCTCAAAAGTAGGAATGTATAGCCATAGCATAGCGAAAATTTACACATAGAAAAGAGAAAAATACTACTTAAACAGTGTATAAAAGTAAAGTTTAATTTCGCCGGGGATTTTTAAAAAAAAATTTAAAATTACACCGTTTAAAATTAAAAATCGATCAAAGATTTGAATTAGGGATGTGATAGGAATATTAAATTAAATATCATTTTTTTGTCATTTGTTTGACTTTGACGTTTATAATATATTTATATTATAAGCCCCCTTATAAAAATATTCCCCGTTTTTTATATTTCGTTTTGAATTTTTGAGTACCAGTTGAGTTTTTAAATGGCGTTTCCAGCTGTTTTTTGAATTAATGGTCTTTTGAAAAATTACTTTTGAAAATTTTTAAAAATAGCGTTCATTATTTTGTTTCTACAAATAGAATATACAAGAGGTCTGCTACGGGCGAGTTTTATCGGGTTCATTTTAGGCGAATTTTAAAAAAATGTAAACATTGGATGGGCGGGTAAAAAATGGCGGAAAGAGCAGCACGGGGAAAATATTTTTTAACCAATCAAATAATTTTTAAAAATAGAATGAATGGGTGGGTGAATGATTTATTTATTAACCATGTGCTGAAAGGAAGTCAAAACTTCTTTAAAACAATTAGCGAAGCAAGTTAGGAATTGATCCTATTGCAGAACTCTTATCGGATATACTAATGTATTAGTTTCAAAATTTGATATTTCATTATTAAAAAAAATTAATAATATAAAATCCTTAATTCTCATTTATCTTCTATCAATTATTTTTCTGTAGCAATTTTTAGCTTCCGAAATTCATATATTATGAATCATTTATAATGTTAGAAAGATAAAAATTTTCAAATGAAATTTTAAAATAGATTCGGTATAAATTATTAATGACAAATTGTCAAATATATTTATTAAATTAAAAAATAAATATTCATCTTATAGATTAAAATGAATATCTCACCTTCGATATGGAATTGCTAACTATACCACTATAATAATCGCCGACTAAGTTTGTCCTATCACCATCTCCATTAATTTTCGTATGATTTTTAGTAAGCAGCGTATTTCTTGCGCCGCTACATTCGTTACTGCAAGTAGTTGCGTCGGCATTTTCGAGGTAAACACTCTCCGCCAAATATTCAGAACTAAGCAGGGGGATCGATAATTGAAAAATAACAGGAAAAAAAAATGAGTGTTTAAAAACAATTGTTTGTAATACTTATGATATAATAATATAATAGCTTATCAAAACTACAAGAAATAAATTTAATGATAAACTCTCCTCTTTTAGATTGTGATGCATTGAAGGAATTGTAAAAAAAAATCACTAGAATACATTTCAATGATCCATCGAGTGCTAATGTCTATTGATTGACATTTTCAAATTACCTTAACATTTAAACTGATGTATTTATTATAAACCTAGAGAGAATGATTTCCCAGGCCACGGTATCGATGTAGCATAATAATGGATTCTTTTCGATTCTTACGGCTCCCCTTTAAAATGAATATTAAAAAGAGATAATGAATACAATACACAAGTCCATCCATTAGATTACTGTTATTAAAAAGCCCGATTCGGGTCATAAGCGGTCCAATTAAGATTATAGCCAAAGTAATATTATGCAAGCTTGGTGATTTTGCTCATAGATGGCAGAAAGGTTTGGACTTCTATCTACCAAATCTCGAGGCTTATAAAATATTATTTTGGCTAAAATTTTAATCGGGAAATCGATTTCAAATAGGAGCTTTTAACAACACTACACATAGATACCATGTAATATTGGATTTTTAAGTATACCTTATCAATCTATCAGAATAAACATATAATTAGTTATCCAATATTAAAATATATGAGGTCTAATAGAGACAAGAATAAAGTGATAAAAAGAGAGAATTGAGCAAAAATCAAGGCACCTGAAAAAAAAAAGTTAAACAAAATATATTAGTAATAAATAATGATGTGAGATTGACATCTATAATGAAGGAGATTAATATCCGAACTCGTCAGTAAAATGGGGGGGGGAGTGATTTTGTCATTCAGAGGAAGTTTTCAAATTTGATGTTTGAAATTTATTTTATTGTCAATTAATATGTATATTGTGAAATCAGTTCTAGCGAATCGTTTTAAATATATTTTAGCATGATATTCGGTAAGTCACTGAAACTCTGGGAAATTTTTAATATTTTTTTTTATTTAAAAATAATAAATATGCGATCGTGTGGATATGGGTGGAAATTTTTTGATAATAATAATACAAATTTCATTACCCAAAAGTTAAGAATTGCATATTTTTTTCTTGTGAAAATTTTCATAATTCTTTAATTTTACATTAAAAATGGAAAAGGTGTGCGATATAATAAATGCTATTAAGTTAGGAATATAATTTTTTTTTGTGAAAATTTTCACAATTCTTTAATTTTACATTAAAAAGAGTATATTATTTTAAAAAATTTAAAAAGGTGTGTGCTCTATTGGATGCTATTAAGTTAGGACTATTAAATCAAATACTAAATAATTAAGCAATTTATTTGAATAAACAAAACAATGAAAAACAAAGATAGTTCTATATAAATTTATATCGTTGAAAATTTAATTAATTTAATTAAATTTGACATATTTATAATATTACGAAAATAAGAATATTCACAGGAAGATTTTCTTCCATTTCTGGGGATGCTCGCCTTAAGATCCCTACATAAACGCTCAATACGTGTATGGATCGATATATCATTTGGTTATATAAAGTTTTGGCTATATAATTGACCGAGTAATGATCATATCCATTTCCATTAAGATTGTTATAACTTGAAAAAATATTAAATTTTAAGATTTGTGCGATCGCAATGCAGATGCCGGATATATTTTTCAAAAATATAATATTATTTTTTAATAAAAAAAAATAAATAAAAAATATTAATATTATAAATTTCCCCGAGTTTCAGTAACTTACTCTTTAGGGAATTATTTCGCGTCAATAGCCCAGGGAGTAGAGGAATTACTGATAATGTAAAAGGAAAAGCATTATTTAGCCTAATAAACGAAAATATTTTATTTGATTAATAAAATATCATTGTTTTAGAATATACTGCAGAAAAAGAATCAACCTTTATAAAGTCTATGCCTTTTTACTTGCTCAAATTTCCAAATAAAAAAATTATATTTATAGGCGTTTATTGCCCCGCTACCCTAAAAGAAATTATATTGATGTTATTATTCGAATTCAGAGCTTAACATATATTATATAAAATTATTCGATTATAATGTTTATTTAATTTTTAATAAAATGTTATTACGTTATTTTTATTATATTGTATCAAGAAAAGAATATTGCTTTCGTTGCATATTTTACTTTATAATGATTTGATTCATCCTTGCATTTTTTTTAAAATTATTATATATTATTATTACCTATCCCAATCCAGCGAGATGTTTATAAATCTTAAAAATAATTCAATTAATATGGTGCGTGTACATTTTTTTTTTAAAAAAAAAAGGAAATAGGACAATTTAACATCGTGATTTCCCAATGAACTAAAGGCTTTTACATCCCGGTTTTTGATTTCTTAATAGATTTGCGCGATATTAAATCTGAGGAAGATATAATATATATACATGTGATAAAAATAAATTTTGTGCTACGATAATCTTTAAAAAGAGAGAAAGAGAAAGGACTAAAACCTTAAAATGAGGGTTAGGGAAGAAAGGCCGATTTCTTCGAGGTTGAAGTTTTGATAAATGGCTAGCGCGTAATTATAAGCCAAAGTGGTGCCTCTTATAACGGTCAAGTTTGGCAATAAAGGTCCAAGCGATGTAATGCCGTTGACCCTGTAAACTAACAGGTAGCCGGTGATTTCTGTCAAGTCGGGAAAGGATATATTTTCGAAATCCTGGGGTTTCGTGAAATCGAACAGGGCTATCTCCAGGTTTCCTTCTATAACGGTACAATTTTCCAGGAGCTTGAAATTGGCCACGGTATTTCGAATGGTCATACTGCCGCATACTAAAAAAAATTAATGTTAAAATATAATGAATGATGTTGGGTGATTTCTCGGTTTTAAGATGGCTAAAAAATGGCCAAATAAATTTTTAACTGAAAACTATCACCTCAAAAATATAGGTAAAACTTTAAAGTATAAAAAATTATTGTGAGTTCCCATGCTTAGGGGATTTTCCTTTGGGATAGTCTATAGATTGCAGAGTTGTTATAAGATTTTTTTTAATGTATCCAGATATCGATATAAGGCTTAAAAAATACAGATGATTTATATTACAAAATAAAATATGTTTAAATTATCATAAACTTACTGAGACATTCCCGTTTATATATATTTTTAGTCAGCTTAAAAAATTCGTCAAACTAATGTGCTGGAAGGTCGTATAGTGTTATAATTTATGGATAACATCTATAATAGTAAAATCTCGATACTCATTTTTAAAATAATCATTCAAATTTCAATGAGCATTAAAATTTATATCCTCTGATTCACTTTCAAGTTTCTGGAAGAAATCGAGGCTCAATTCGACGTGTTTGGAAATGGGAATCACTTCTTGTGATAAATTCTATAAATATAAATAAAAAATCCGGGGTTTTTTTTCCTGGGGGTTTTTTCCGGTTTTTCCCTATTACTTTTTAGATGTTTAAAAAAATATATAGTATTAAATCTTTCCATTTCATTTTTCTATATTAATATCATTTAGAAAACTTCGAAAGTTCATTGACTGATCGTTGTGTCAACTCTTTTTTTCTTCTTTGATTTTTTTTTTAATTTTATGGCACCCCAAGTCAAATTAAGTTTGACAAATTTTCTGATTCTGTCTTAATTGTTCCATCTTCATCAGTAACATAAATATTAATCATTTAAAAATTTATAATATATAAAGATTAACCAATTTTCGTCATTTATTGTGTAGGATAAAATTTGTCTTTAAATAGGAAAGAAATAAGGTAAGATAGATAATGATTGAATTTAATAGAAAAAATTAGGATTAAATTTTAAAAACAAATTTTAAATGCACTCAATTAAATGTATCTATAAATTGATAGAGATAAGAGCAAATAATGTATCTAGAGATAAATATATATTTTAAAAAACAAATAAGATAATTTTTGTATCTTGATACTTTAACAACTCTTAGAAGATTGAACCGAAATAACCTGATTTTAGTCATAATATGAAAATTTCGAAATCCGGGGCAGACTGTAAAATGATCAAAAAAAATCTAAAGGTTATTCGACGATGCACGCATTTATAAAGATCTTTGAATTAAGTTATTAAAAACATATGTTCAATGTCAACCATATAACACATTATCGCAAAGCAATTATATTTTTTGGTAACCAATATTATGTGATCCTTTATAAGCTACTTTATAAATGTTTCTGCAAATTCGGTTTTGAGATTAAACTAAAATATCCAAAATCGTATGGATTATATCAAGTTTTTTTTAAAAAAAACTAATAAAAATTTAATGTTCCTTCTTTTGTTAAATTAAAAGTGAAGTGAGTTATATTTATGGGGAAAAAAAATTCATTGAATTAAAATCATTTTTAAAGTATATACATTAAATTTATATAAGTATATGAATATCAATTTTAATGAGCGTTTTTACTTAGTGTAAATAGGAAATTTTTTAAAATTAAATTAAAGGATTAAGAATGATATCATGTGTATAAGGATTGCAATGTACCCCTTGTATTAGGGAATTTTCATTTAAAGAAACCCGTTGGAAGGAAGGGAAGGGGACACAATTTTTATCTTAAAAAAGACTAATAAAAATTACTAGTTTAATATTATTATCCATTTTTATGGGTTGGCAAAAGAAATGATTTTCTTAAAAAATATTTTAAACGCTATTTTATAATTCATTTTATTTTTATCGCGATTTTAATCAATAACTAATATTTTAATTAGAGAATTATGAATTTAGATTAAAAAGTATCATATATATAAATTACCTCAGTATAAAAATTAGCATTCTTCAGAATATATGTTCAAAAAATTGTTTTAAAGAAAATATATTGATAAACGATAATCTAATTTGATATTTCGCCAAATAAAGAGCTTATTATAAAATAAAATCCGATATGTATATCAGAGACCTGCAGACTCGGCCCATGTTTAATTTTTTTAAATATACCCGAGCCGGGCCTGAGATTTTTTTACCAGGCCGGGCCATTTTAAAACGCCATTATTAACTATAAAAATTAAAAATAAATATAATATATTGTAAAAAAACCGGGACGGGCAGAAAAAAATCCAGGCTGTACAAATGGTATTTCTGCAGGTCTGTGAATATATATAGTATATGCATAAATATTTAGTTTTTTTTAACAAATCAGTAAATATTTAAGTCAGAAAGAAGGTCAATCAATATTTTGCTAAAGGCAATTTTCTAATTCAAAAAAACTGTTTATTAATTTTAAGCTATTGATAATTTCCAACTGGGTTTCCTGATAGATGCATTCCCCCTATTTAAAGTGCCTCAGATTTGCGGCAATTAATTGATATATGCTCAAAATCAAGAATTTTAGAAACACAAATCTTTTTCTATTAAAAGGTTAATTATTTTTAAATTTTATTATAAATATATTTTAATCAAAAAAACGAGGGTCTTTTTTCTAATTCTGGGAGGAAGGGGGGGGGGGGGTAAATCAATTTTTTATAATAAAATATTAGAGTAATAAAATCGACAAAGGTAAGCATTTTTTTAAAAAAAAAATGTTTATGGATAGGAAATTAATTTGACTAAATTAAAGGAAATATTAAATTGTATCGAAATTAATTTTATTATTTAAAATTATTTTTATGGTTGTCTGTCTTTTTACCCACCATACTTAAAATCAACATTATTATATAATATCATCCCAAAAATGTTTCAAATCTAATAAACAGAGGTGTTAAAATAAAATTAATGTATCGTAATAAGATACATTACAGATCATTGGGTATCTAACTACAGTTCCGATACCAAATTTGTATCTAGATACTATACCAACTCTGCTAATAACCAATGAGACCGAAATAACAATGGAATATGGCAAATTTTAATACCCTAACGCTGATCACAAATTTTTTTGGATAAAATCCTTAGCTGGATCTAACCCATGTAAAGAAAAATCAAATACATTAGAAAACCAATTGAATAGTGGTTATCAGAGGGAACATTTAATTCAAGATAAAAAGAGTAATACAATCAACCGCTTCAGTAAGAGTTAATATATCACTTAGAGTGGTTAAACTTAGGAATTTATTCACTAACTAACTGAAAAGACTGAAAAACTAGTTTTCTTTTAAATAATTAAATTCAAATATTAATTGGATGACAGGGATATTGCTCGTTTTAATATTATTATTCTTCTTTATCTGAAATTTGGAATGTAATTTTTTAATTTTACAAACTGATTATTTTCTTTCGTTTGTTCATTCTTTTTTTTTCCTCTTCTTTCTTTCTCTCTTTAAAAAAAATTTAAAAAAAATATTTCTATTAATAGTTTCTCACTATATTAAGATTAGATGTAATAATAATATAGTGTCAAAAATTGAAATAGAAAATGAGAATCAAAGTAAATCAAGATTTATCCAAAAGTATCGAATATGAATAATTCACTCTTCAATTCATTTTTGAATAGGCTTAAATATTATTGGGGGGGGGGTGATAAACCGTAATCTCAAAAACGCCCCCCCCCCAGTATTTATGGAGCTGACCTGAATTGTTTTAAGGTACTATTTACCCTAATTTCTTCTATTATTTCTATTAACTATTTAAGGATGAGGATAAGAAAAAAAACTAAGTAAATAAAATTATAAAACTCCGATAAAGAAAAAAAAATCAACTAATTTAGCTTTATTGCATTAGGATTAGATTTTAAACATTTTCTTGTTTATAAATAATTGGGTTTAAATTACATGACAAATTAAAAGGAAAAGATGTCCTTGAACCTTGTGAATTTTTTTATAAAAGTTTTATAGTTGAAGAAATGTTATAATTTTTTAGTAATAAAAATCGATATTTTATATAATTATTTTTTTTTAAATAACTTCAAAAATTATTTTTTTTTTAGATTTATCGTCAATAAATATACCGTATGGTGATTTGCGTATGTTCACAGAGGATTGACGTAGTTTTTGTGGTTGAGCTGTGGACTGGGATTGACCAATTCCAAAATTGAGCTGAAAGAATATGGAAACGATCAAGGTGTAATGACGAATAACGCGCGAAAATGTAACATAGTGAAAATGATTATTATTCCTATATCTATCGATACTATTCTTATTAAGGAGGTTCGTACCTGATTCCTTCATTTTGATGTTCTTTTGAGATAGCGTTGAAAAATCTGGCCACCCCGATTAAACTTGTCATCTAGCGAAACATTTTGGAATAATTTTGAAATATCGAAAATACCATAATTTAGTAATGATTATTATGATGTGTTGCATTTTTCGTTTGTTCGGGTTATGGTAATAAGAATATATCAAAATAAAATGAATAAATTATATTTTTGGGGTAAATTATTTTAATAAGTGTCGATTCATAATTTATCAATTAGCTTTTGTTTGTGCGCAATCATTTAATTCTTTCGTTCCTTGGTAATTTAAAATAATAGATGTTTTTTAAATAATGTTGAATAGTTTCTGGTTTGTGATAGGGTAGATTTTCTGAAGTTTGTCATCCACTATATGTAATTTATGTTTTAAATCAACATATAAAATCCATATTATTAATTAGTCATAATTTATTGTTATACTATTTTTTCCTCCAATCAATAAAATCAAAAATTAATATTTTCTTTTCAAATTTGAAAAATTATTTTTAAAAAAGTAACATTTAATATTAATTAGTTTAAGTATAGTAATAGTATAATAGTAAATTGTATAATTTTTTTTATATGTTTTAGGTAAACATTTGTAATAACAACTAAAAAGATGGATGGATAAAAAAAAGTGCTAGAAATCTTATTTTGTTTACCTTTATTTTATACATTTTCTAATAAAAAAATAATAATATTCATATTAAGGTTGTGTCCAAAATCTGTTTATAAATGACAGAAGTTTTTAAAATTTCAAAAATTTTAAAATTTTAATGAAATCATGTTAAATTTGATATTTTATAATTTTCTATAAATTTATTTGAGATATTAAAGTGACAATTTATAATAAAATAATTCAAATTTTTTTTAAAAAAAAAATCAATGTTGGTAGATCAGATAAATAAAATGATTTAAAATTATTAAAAATTAAATTAATCCCAAGTCATTCTTTTGATTGCTAAAATTCATGGAATCAACCAATCAGAGAGTGGAATCACTAACTATATAAACCTTTAGGGGGGTGAGTCACTTTTAAAAAAAATAAAAAATGAGCATTAAAAAAAATGTCAGAGGGCTTGAGCGCCAAGGCGTCCAACGCCAGAGAAATAATAATAAAATACTTATAACCTCTGTTGGCATTTATAAATAATAATATGTATCTTCTTTAGCCATCCTAAGCCAGCTGTTTAGGTCGGCTTTCCATTTAAGAGTCTAAACGTTAAGAGAAAAAAAATACGAAAAATAATAGACACTAAACACTTAAAACAAACAAAAATAGGGTGTCCTAATTCAAAAGCTGTTTAAACTAGTTAGAAATAAGTATCAAAAATAAATCGAACCAAGACATACCCAATATCATTTTTTTTTCATCTAGTTAGCAAGGGGAAAAAAATAGGTTTTTCTTTTTTAAAAAATGTTTCTGTTTCTGAAACAGTGCATTTATATGAAATCTCAGCACTCTAGCGAAAGATGCGATGTCGCGCTCGTCTTGTTCACTATAGAAAATATTTATTTTTTTTATTTAAAAAAATCTGATCAAATGGTCAAAGTCAGAGGCTTGACAGACACTCTCACCGCGCTTTACAGTGGACTTAAAAGTTAAGAAATCTCAAACTATGGAGAGGGGTCATAAAATTTTTAGTTTTGCGTGGTCATCTTTAATCAGGGAAATAACAAACAATATCAAATTTATATAAATTATTGTTATTAAAGCTTATTATCATTTTTAGCCCTCCTTTATACATTCATTATTAAATTAAATTGTAAAAAATTAAACAACGAATTTTATATCTGACGATTCGACCCCTAACCTCACGCGAAGTTGTCCAAGATCGGGAAGCGAACTTGCAACCCTCCGCGTAACTGGGTTGCCTATCCCTGAGTTAACAAGCCCCTTAAAATAAGATTTATTTTATTAATCAATTTTTCATTATATTTAAATAAATATGGAAAATAAAAATAAAAAATATTTCATTGATATAGGTTTATAAAGATTTCTTTTATTATTTTTTTAGACGCATAATTTTTTAAAAAAATAAAAACAATTCAAATCTTAAGTTTTAAAATTTTTTGACATTAACAGAAATTTACATATCGTAAATTCATTTATTTTTTTAAAAAAAACAAGAAGAAAAAAATGTCCTTTCTGTTTTACATGATAATGACATTGTTTGTTTTTTTATATTTTAAATTTTAAAAGGCGCATATATGTGCAATCATGAGTTATCAATCATCAAGTGTTGTTAAAAGTTACTCTTGAAACTTAACTAGTATTAGACGTAACTGCTACAGTTATGTTTTAAAAGTAATTAGTTAAATTATAAGTTACTTTATAAATCATTTATATAACGCACCATTTTTTTAATTTAATATTAAAATAAATTACGATTTACAAATCGTAATTAATGGTGTAATTTAAAAGAAAATATACAATTTATTTATATAAAAATATAATTACACTGAAAAAAAAAATCCAAAGAATAAATACATTTACTCCGAAATAAAATATCAGAAATATATATTTGCACTGATTATTTTTATAAAAATTCGGGCTTAGTAAATTTTTATTTGCCTTTAAAAATAAACTATTTTAAAATTTTCTGTCTAAAGGACGCACTTGTTTTTCTTCAAAAATAAGTTTCCCTAGAGTGGGAAAACGTTCTATGGGAACACTTGGTGTGAGGACAACATAATATTTAATAAGAATTAATAATTTAATATCATTTTAATAAGTTCAGATGATGACCCATATTTATTTTGTAAATTCTACAAAGGTGACCTAATCACAATTTATATGTTTTCTTATAATTATAATTATATAAAAAGATTTTGTTGGCATCTTATGTTGCTACTAAGCATACAAGAGCATCAGCATACCCGGGAAGGTAGTCAAAGCAATTTTAATTAATAATTCAGTTTAATATAATTGATTTAGCTAAACAAAAATCTTTTGCATGTATAAGTCTAACTAAAATTAGTAAAATTATATATTATTTCAAACATATTATGTGAAAATAATTTTATAGAGATGTGTTCATATAGCTTGAAGTGTGGATGACTTAGATGCTAAAATATACCTTTTTTGGAGGCATAAGAGCAGTGTTGTTATTGGGACGGCTTAAATAGCCCGATTACAATTTTAGCCAAATTATATTAAGTAAGCCTCAAGATTTCAAATAGAAGTTCAAACCTTCTTTTGCCATCTATGAACAAAATCTTTAAGCTATTATTTTGGCTGTAAAATCTTAATTAGACCCTTATCGACCTAAATCGAGCCGTTTAACAATATACATAAGAAAAACTTAACGCTACTATTGTTTGTACAAAGTGTTCTCTATGTGAAATCCAAAATACTTTCTGAAGCTTGGCTAAAATATTTTAGCATCTAAGTCTGTTGTTTTGGTACAGAATCAGATATTTAATCAAAATTTTAAAATAAGTTTAATTTAAAATTAATTTATTATAATATAACGTATTAATTATTTGAATATATATAATATATATATATATATGAATATTTTAAAAAGTAACTAGTTACATTTAACTGTAACATCCTAAAAAATATAACTAGTTACAGTTAATAGTTACAATTTTTCAAATATAAGTAAGTTATTTTTTTGCAAAAAATGTAACTAGTTACTTTAACAAAACTATAATCATCTTTCAAAAATAAAAAGTATGATCTGAAAAAATTAAGAAAAATAAATAAGATTATATTAAATAGAACATTTGGTCATTATGGTTATATTATTCAATTCATTCGCGATATTTTTGGAGCCGCGCGATAAAAAAAAAATTTGTTAAGAATGATGATACTGATTTGTAAAGAATATTATTGTTTTTGCGCCCATAAAAAATATAGTCTAAATTAATTGAAACTTTCTATATCCTGTGGGCCAGGTTGTGTGAGGAATAAAAATGGTTCTAATATCCTTTCCAGACTTATCGGGGGGGGGGGGGGGGGGGGGGGTACTGCGCCTCACAAATATTTCTTTCTATTGATAAAATAATTATGATATTGACGTATCCAGTTTAATCTTTTTTTCGGGTATTAACTTAAATATTTCAAATAATGTTTTATTTATTTTTTTAAATGATACCGAATTGAGGAAGTAATTAAAACTTCTTGCAATTAATGATCAAATACATTTTGATAGTAAATTTCATTACTTTTCCCCGCACATATGACATGAATAAAAATCATTTTATGTATATTGAATAATAATCATCATTTTATATTGCATTTATATACTTAAATTTATTCACCTTGAGTATGAATTTAAAATTGGTAATTTATTCACGAAAAAATAGTTTTTAAAAATACCCTAAAAAATAATATAAAAAAATAATGAAATCTTATTTTTTGGTAGACAAAATTTTTTAACCAAAGAAATAAAATACTAAATATAAGTACTTCTTGGTTCTAAGGCTAAGGATAATGACAGGCAGCGTTTCCGAAATTAAACATTTCAGACTTACTAAAAATGTATAGAGAATATCAAATTTTAAAAAAACGGTATGTCGATATCGATTGAACTTTTCACCCAGATGTATTCTATACTTATATAAAAGTATAGATATATTTTTTAGAAATTTTTTATTAATCATTAACAAATACAGCCTATATTAAAAATAGAATATATTGTATAAAATAACTTAATACTTAATATACTAAATATTATTATTGGATTTTAGCAATAAAACATTTTTGAGGTTTTTATCAAGGAGATATCCCCTCCCATTATTTAAAAAAAATTTTAGCAAAGCTGAATAAGCTTTAAATCGACGCGCTGAGAGGAATGGTAGTGTATTTTATAAATAACAATTAAATATTAGGAAAATTATTTAAAAAGGTGAACGCTTTAGTCTATGTGCTAAAAATATTATCTAGTTTTTGTTTTATATTAGGATTATTTACATCATGTTATAGCATAGGCTCATCAAAAAAGTGACATTTCTTCTTTACATTTATTTCCGGAATAATGATTGTTGTATAAGGGAAACATAGAAGGTTGACAGTTCAATCACTTATATCAGCTTTTCTTATCTCTATATATTATCTAACCCCAATTAAAGCTTAAAGTATGAGCGATTCACCATACCCATAATCATATTATTCATTAAGCGTTATTAAAAAAAATTAGAATGGGCATTCATTCATCTTTATGAAAATAATTATGATAGTATAATATATATAACTTCAAAGCCTCGATGAAGCTACATCAATTGTCTATTATTGTCTTGGATATTTTGTTTAGAATAAAAGTCAATTATTTTCTATTATCAAAGATATTTAATTTGTTATATTATATGAGATTTGAATTTGCAGAAAAAAAATTATGAGGAAAATAAGAAATGCTCATTGG